TTGAGAAATGGGGTGAAAGCGTAGGGGGGAGTATAGGGCATGAGGTGTGGGGTTAGCCTATGCTTGCTACAGGATGCTATGTGGTTACGGGATGCTACGGGAAGACATGGTGAAAGCAGCACAGACATGACAGAAACATCGAGATGAACACCAAGCTACAGTACAAGCCTCGTGCGAACTGTGAGTACGGTCGGCCATTCATTTGAATTCGTCAGAGCGAGCTTTCCTTGCCAACGTAAAGTAAAGATGCGCTGCCAGTCTTCAGGTCTTGCTGATTTGCTGTAAAACTTGTGGTTTTTGTGATTAAATGTTGAAATTTCTTGAGAGCCAAAAGCCCAGCAAACATCATGTCAGCATGGCCTCATGCATCCTATTCGTACACCCCCAAGCTCAGGCCACTTCTGGCCAACATGTAAGCACATAACGCGTTCACGGGGCCCTGAGGTTACACGGTTTTTGTGTTTCGACGGTTTTACGGAGTCAGCCATCAAGCAATACTTCCTATCTGTCCCAACTTGTGATTGCCAGCTTGTATCATGAAACTGTCATTATCCTCGTGCTTGTAGGATGATGGGCATCAGCCAAGGATATTGCATCCGCAGGAAGAAACAAGTAGGTCTGTCCGGTGCACCAAGCACGGACGTGCAGGCACACAGCATATCACAGCATCAATCTTCTCACTGTGCCACCACCCCAATTTTCCTTGAGTTGTCCAAAGCCCGCGCATAAGAAAGCCATGCGGCTGTCGGATGGCGGTACAATGTTTGAAAATTGGAAGTTGCCTGCCTGTTTATATGGCCTTGTGTCGCATGTTGTTCCAGTCTACTAGCGGCACACACGTAGCTGTAACAGCCCTAGAGCTTCCATGGCTGTCGAGGGAGAAACTGACGGATCAGCAAAGATTCCCTGCTACCGCCTCTGGCAAGCATTTATGCGACTCCAGGGATAGCGTTTGGCGTCTCAGTCGAGGGTTTGGCCCACAGGCTTCAGAAAAGAAAAATGATGGTTGCAAGCACATTTCTGAACGTGTCATCTGTAGCAACTCCATTTCCATAGCTTTGCATGTCAAGGCTTGCTGGATAATCCCAGCGTGCAGAAGGCGCCCGTTTTCGGTCCCTCTCAGGCTTTCTTTCGGGACGAATCTGACATGACAATGGGCTATGCCTCTGCAACGGAGATGCCGCTTGAATGCGAACCGCAAAGTTGAGGTTTTCTCTGCTGAGGGCTGCTGTCGCTAGTTGGAACCTTTTTGTGCAAAGTGTTGTTAATAGTCTCAATTGGTGTATTCTGGAGGTTTACACTTGCATATCGGATTCGTCTAAAGGGTGGAGAACTTACTGGGTGTCGCTCGACTCTCTGCAAAAGAAAGAGATTTCGACCCTTCATGGGTTTGGAATGGCCATAGGCGAATTAGCAAGAGGCCCCTGGCAGCTTTCCCCACTGACTAAGGATGTCGATCATGTGGCCGGCCTGAGATTTGGCATTCTGTGCTATCTGAGAGAAGGTAGGATTAGAAGTCAGGCCTCAGGAGAGGCGTTGATAGCTTCTGAGTACTGTTGACGTGATACCGCGCTTGGCAGTTCAGCATCATTGATGTGATTGTTTTTTCGGGTTTGGCGGGGAGGATTGTGCAGGGCCAAGGCTTCAACTTTGAGAATTTTCAAGTGGTATGGCGTCAGGGTTTGAGCTTTTCTTTTTTGAGGACACCAGGCTGGATTTTTGGCACTTCTAGTTTGGCCGAAAAGACGGGCGCCGGAAGTGGAAACTCAACGTTTCATGCAGGCTCGGGAATGTTCCGCATGAGGTGGCGAGGCAGCTTTAGGGTTTTTGCTACACCTTGCGTTGGACTCCTGCTTGGACTTCGCATGCCATTCAAGCGGTAAGCGTGTCGTGCAGAGCATCCTGCCTTGATACATACTTTCACTGGCGTGTCCGTGTCTGCACCCGTGGTTGCCTTGAAAGGTACGAAGCGACCAAAGTTTCGGGACTTTGGGAACATGCGACTTTGCTTATTTGAAGCAGCGTTTCCAGGGAAGCCGCACCAAAGGGACAGTTGGCACCTTGCAGCATCATGCAACAATGGCTTATGGAGGAGTGTTAGAGGGGGAGCACGGTAGATCCGTGAGCGTAGGTTATGCTCAGCCACAGCCAAGCGTGGAGCATTTCAAGACAGGCTTTCCTGAGCTGTCGTTCTCCTCTAGACTGCTTTGTCTGGAGTTTTAATTGGAGCCGGAGATGCAGAGTTTCGTAGGGGCATTCATCTACACGCGTCATGTCAGTTTATCATGACAGGAGGGCGATGTTAAGGACCCTTGCTTCCTTAGGTAGTCAGCATCCAAGGTTCCCGAGAAGCTTCGTGGGGTCTTCTGGATGAAAGGAAATGGAGTCGGCGCGGCGCTAAGCCGGTGTGGCGTACAGGGATGGATGCGCTGTACACCGTGCGCTGGCCATTGTGCCGAGCTCCGATCTTATACAGGTTGGAAGGCCCAAGTGCCGGGGAACTCTGAGATTCAGCATGAAGTGACTCGCTTGGAGAGGCCCTACACGCTAAGTCGAAAGAATGCGTACGCCATACGCATCTTATCACCCCAACCCTTCAACCATTCAAACCCAAGCCATGAATTCGAGCATTTCCAGGTGAAGAGCTTGTGGCGCTGCAGAATGGCCAATGGTTCGAAGAGGATGGGCTGTCCTTCTGTCTGCGGTTAGCGAGTCTCAGCCTGCAAGCAGCCTGCAAGGAGAGCATCCTCATTACACCCATGGCGCCCTTCACGTGGGCATGGCCTGGAGGAGCTGAAATGCCGTGTGGGAAAAGGGGCAGAGTCGCGGTGAAGGCGTTGAGTTTCAGGTTGAGAGGGTTGAAGAGTGTTGTTCTTGGAGAGCTCAGTTCTGCAGCGTCCTTTAGCGAGCCACTGCAAAATTTTGATTAGGACTTTCAGCTTCTGTCGTTAGCATACCCAGTAACCGAATGGAACGGAATAAGACGATGTTTTGGTCCGTTAAGTTGACCGAAGGAAAACATACCATGAAGGCACGACTGGTCAAACTTCAATAATGAGGAGCTCATTATCTCGACATTTTCTCAGCCTCCCTTTAAAAGTTGCTTCAGGAAGTTTAGCATAGCCTTCATTGTGAGTGCAGCTTTGGGAAGTGAAGGGAAGCAGTAGTTCTGAACGCTGGGTTCTCAAAGGCCCAGGCTGTACCCTTCCATGATCACGATCCCAGTCAACCTCAGAAAGTCCCTCAAGCAAGCGCTAGCAGCTCAAAGACCTGGACCCGACCCTTTGCTCCAGGAATTCCAAGCCAAGCTCCATACTGTGGAGGATTGTCCTTTGTCATATCAGTCTCCAAATCAAGATGCTTGAGGAGTTGTAGAGTGTCTTTCTTTGCCCGGCCCCTTCTTGATCCAGAATGGAATTTCGTTTATTATGTCAGGGCACTTTCAGGCTGTGGTTGTAATTTGTTCCACTCCCCTGTGAGCAGCGTGAAGTCCAATGGTATTGGATCTAGCTTCTATTAGCCTCGGAGTGATTGCCCCGTCCATGCTGCAGAGGAAAAGAACCCAGGGCTCAAGTGATTTTTCATTGTGAAGCAGCACGTACAGATTAAGCTGAGAAGATTCCGGTCTGATGTTTCTAGGACAAATCCGAAAATGACGTTGTTTGGTTCCAACTGTCATACTCAAACTTACCAGCTGCATTTTGAACCTATCTGAAGCTAGGGTTGTGGATAGTTCGCGATTTGCAGAGAGTGCAAAGCTCATCTAAAGTCTTGTGCAGACATACTTTACATTCCACAGAACGTGCATGCTTTCAAGGTTGCGAAGGGCAAGGGCCTCGCAGTCCAACAGCGCAAAGGACATTTCAAAGCTTCTTTTCTCCTGCAAGGTACGGACCCAAAACTGTCATGTTCGGGGCGAGCGCCCTGCCTGAACTTTGCATGCTGGTTTGGAACGGATTCTACAGCGCTCTTTGTTCTGCTAGATTCTTGAGAGGATCTTCGGTTAAAAATTGCTGGTGCACATACGACGTTTTGAAAGTATGCAAATGCTGGCGGTGGCCATGGGCATCTGGAAGCTGTACTCTCCGGACAAGGATGAATCCCAAACAGACAAAGCTTATAGGCCATGTTTCCCATCTTTGGGACTCAATGCCGATCCCTCGAAAAACTCAGGACTTCTTTGCGGCACTGGTAGCTGGGCTCCGCCCTTGCACCCGCTCAACTTTTCGTTCAAGTTCAGCGGAAAGGAGAGGTGGCCGGCAGATGCATCTTTGCTTTTGAAACATTTTTTTTGTGGAGGGCCCTCTTGAATGGAAGTTCAAGGTTCGAACGTTCCTTCTCTCATAACCTCGCAGGATTTCCTGAACAGATGCTTGGCTGGATGTGCGTCCAGGTTCAGGTTGTTAAGTACGTTTCGTCTCGTTTCCAGCACTCTAGGGCATGGCGAGGTTTGTACCTGCGGAGAGGCACGCAATCATGTTGCATAGCTGAACACCAGCCTCATTCCACTGTGGTGCAGGACATAACGAATGCTACCTTACAAGCCGGACCAGACCTCAAGAAGGCACGTTGGGATCAAGAACTTGCACAGAGTGCATGTTCCCCTGAGAATCAAACACTCACCGAACAGGCACACCAGCATCATCCACCCCGTAAACCGGTATCGGAAGTCTCTAGATCTAGAAGCTAGGTGTGTGTGTGTGTCGAACATGTTATACATAGGACACGGTGACCGTCGGCAACTTGGTCCCTTGTTTGCCTTGCTGCACATGTCTCCGTGGCGTCCTCAGATTTGCCACAGAGTTTAGGCCTGAAGCGTTCAGAGCTTGCGCTGCGGGGTCAGGGGTTATGGCTGCAGTGTGTTTCGCATCCAGTCTTCAGAGAATTTAGGTCCAGCTTAGTTAAGCCAGGTCGAATGTTTGAGGAGATTGACCTGTTGGCTGCATCATTTTTTGGGAGCTGAGCTTTTAGTCACCCTCTCACAGTGTTACCAAGCAGCATGAGACTGGATTTTCCGGCCGGATGTTACGTATTTATTGTTTCAAGTCTTATGAGTGTTGACTCGTTTTGGGTATCGATGACTTGTGCTCGTTCTGACCTTTGGGCATTTTGTTGCTCGCGTCTCATTCTGACTTTTGGACAGTATGCGGCAAGCAAGGAGAGCCTGTCCTTCTCCACAGAACTTTATGCAGCAAAGATGGATTGATAACCCTGCAAGCCCTGCCCGATGATGACGAGGGCTGTGCTAGATGTGCTTCTGACACACCTGCAACACACTTTACTCAGCTCAAGGTCATGCATACTGTACTTCCATGAACTTGATGTGGACCTGATGGTGCCAAGGGGCCCGCCAGGCACACAGCCCTGCAGTCCAGCCATAATATGTCAAAAAACTTTAAAAGGTTTTGTAAGCGGTACGCAGCCTAAAGCGTGACTCTCGGCTACGAAGCCTTCAACAGGTGCATACCCCTCCAACAAACTTCAAGCGTCGAGCCTTTACTTATCTTGCAGACTGGGATTCAGCGTGAAATATCCAAGCATCTTGAACGGTCAGTTGACCTGCAATGCTGAGGAGGCAAGTACACCTTTGAGCTCCAGAGCCTTGGCCTCCCTTGTGGATTAGCCTGTAGAGCAGGGCTCAGCGTGCTAGTTGAAGGGGTATGATTCGGCATGGGATGCCTTGAGAAGGCTTCCAAGGCTTCCGGAGCCTGTGAAGGTGCAACTCTCTTGGTCGGATTATCACGTGATTGCATGGTACATCTCCTCAATGGCTGACCTGTGTCCGTATCCTGTTCTCACTTCAGACTGCGCCCTGGCACAGGGGCATTTCAACCCAGCAGCAAACACTTCCTTCGTCATGGTCGCTTCAGAAACTAGGGTAAACACAAACTCGGCTGCTAAAGCTAGGCCGACCTGCTTGGATGCCTTCTAGTCACGCTTGAAGTGGGATCGAGGCCTAGCAACCTCTCCGAGCCCGGAAGCCACTGGAAGCGGGGCGTATGGTGGGGCCCAGGCCTATATTCTGTTTTTACCACGTTCAGGAAGGGCTGTTGAACTCGTTTCTTCATCCTCAATCAATGCGAAAGCGGGTCCCAAACTTGACGTGTAGCGCTCTTGACGAGTTCTGTGTCATTCAAAGGATGGGTCATGGTAGGACAAACGTTCAGAGGATCAGTCATCGCCGAAAAACAGCTGCTCTAACACCGAACGTCACCAACCGCTTAGCTGGGTTGTTTACAGGTTAGCTGCTCATCCAGGTTGCTCTGCGGGCTTTTTCTGAAAAGATTCAACAAGTGCATAATTGCAGCGAATGCTGCAGTATTCAAAAAATGCAGCTGATCGCAACAAAAAGGAAAAGGTGAAGCGCATCAGAGAGTGTTACAGGCCTACATGGTCAACAAGTGCAACGTCCAAGATGGAGAAAACAGAAATAAAAGCTGTTCCCCGATATCAAAATGTGCTAAAAGCAAGTTGATGCTGCTAGGGACGTGCACTTTCTGCGAGTTTGGCAGCTACAACTTCGTGAAGGCTGGGACATGTATCGGTCTCTAGTATGGCTTGGAGCCTTGCTTTTGTTGCTTACCGCCTCAAAGCAGATCATGTTGGACGCCCGGTTTGTTTTTCAGGTGATCCGCTCGGACGGGCAACCCAATGAGCCCTACTACAGTGAGTTTCTGCAGCCCCTTGGTCTACTTTATAACTAAGGGCCCGTTGATTCTGCCAGAAGATTTGATGATTCTTCAAGTTCAATGTGTGGACAATTAGGCATTAAAGCTCGGCCCGGGTTCAAAACTTTTGACTGGCAGTGAAAAGACAAGTGAATGGGGTCGCGTCCGCGGTCTTTCGGGCCACTTTGGTTGCTCAGAGTCGAACTCCAGCCAGCATGCCCACAGTACTGCTGCGCGGGCGGTCACGGACGAATGTGCCAGCAACACAGAGCCGAGCTGTTGTTGCGAGCGAACCAAAATGGTACCGTCTATAGTTTTTAGAGACCCTTCCTTATAGCCAACATGAATGAAGCAAGTCTTGAATCTTAAGCCTAGCAAGCAAGGATACGCAGAAAGAACCTGTTCAGTGATGCTGCTGCAAACCCAAGCCGGACAGCAAAAGCATGGACAGTCATGCGGACATCGTGCTCGAGACCCCTGCAGCCAACTCTTGATCTCAACAGCTTTGTGCTTCATTCCCCGCTAAGACGGTAAGCCCTGAGCAGGTACATGGGCGACATCAAGCTGTTTGCCTGGTCTGGCTTTACGAAGCATGAGCAGCGGGACGCAGAGTTTCAAGCTCTTGAAGAGGCTGCCCTCCGGGCTTAGGGCCTGAGCACTCACGGCTAATTGTGGGATCGTGGGTGCAGGGCAAGACTGTTGGGTTTTGACACCCTGAGCGCTTAGAGTAGAGCTTCTTGGCCACTCAGCCTCATGAGGGTTGTCCCCAGTCTGCTGCGGTTTTAAGGTACTCGTCATGGGTCCAGAAAGTTGGGGCCTAGAGGCACCCTTCGCAGCAGGGTCCTTTTGCAGGCAGCATCCATCAGGCTTGCTTTCTGTGTTGCAGGTTCCCTTCCAGCTGCTTTGTTATTGAAGAGTGGGACTGCGCCTGGCAGTTGGCGCGCTTTTTGTTCGAAGTGGAAGACATCTGCAGGCAAATCCAGCCGATCGAAGGGAAGCTGCGTAGTCTTCTGAAGGGTAAAGTTATGTGTGTCCTTGCTCAGTTTCTCCGAAGGAAGTATGGCCCGAGACCAAAAGAAACATTGTATGCTTCTGGTCTCAAGGACCCACGTAGCATCCCTAGCAGCTGTCTTCTAGCTCATTAGCGCTGAACCCCTGAACCCTACATTGCCCTACATAGCCTCAACATTCCTCAGGCCCAGCTCTGTGCTCTGAAGATGCATGCGACGGTGCCAAAGGCTTTTGTCGCAAAGAGGGTGCAGAAGCAGTGTGCTCGAAGTGGAGAGCTCCCTTGGCTCAAGCCGTGGCTCCCAACAGAAGATGGCTGTGTGAGTCACTCTCTCATGTCAAAGGAAGTAGACCCTGAATCGACTGGAAAGCCCTGTTGAAGCTGCATGAACATTGACAGAACCGCCCTGGTATGACCTCGTCGAGAAAGCCCTTGAAGCCAGGCTCGGCGGGGTTACGCCGAGGCCGCGCAGAGTACCTGGGCCAGGCCGGTGCTCGCAAAGGGCTAAGAAAAGAACTAATGGAGCTACAGAGGGCTTGATTCTTGGAGGCGCCAGGCTTGGCCAACTTGGGTAAGCTGGAAAATGCCCATCGGGTTTACTGAGTGGGTGTGAATGCGCAGCAAGATTGCGGACATGTGTTCAGGTATCAGAACTATCAAAACTCAGAGGGTCTCTTAAGTTCATATTGCATGGACACTGCCAGGCCATCAACATCTGTTTAAGGAGCGTCTTTTTTGACCTGTTCACTGGACTTAGCAAAGACTTGGTCAAACCCTCACATCCGGGGAAGGCGAATTGTGCTGCAAGCCTCTCAGGCGCTGTGATGGCTTTGTCCTGTGGGATGAGAATCTCGGCTTGAAGGTAGTAGAAAGCGCGTCTTCAGATTGTCTTCGCTAAGGCCGGGCAGAGCATGTAGAGCAAATGATGCCTTCTACTCCTGCAGCTTGACTGGCGCACATCGTTGGCGTTTGACGCTACACATCCAGCATCCTAAAGTCTTTCAGTCAAGTCCCTGATCATGAGAGTTAGACACCAACCAACTGACCAACCTAGGAACGTGGAAGCCGTTGCCACAGAGGATGCGCGGTCTGCGCTGGAAGAGCCACCGGTGGACTTCAGGCAGTAGTAATTTGTTTCAGCTTCAGGCATCGGTTCAACCCATGCAAGAATCATGGAAATCATTAGAATCATGGGGGCTTGTGGGTTGAAGGGGAGTTGCGGTCAAGTGACAGACGCTCGCACTTGTTGCTGAGCTGCAGCTCGCGCAGAGGAGAGGAGGCCTGACGTCGATTGCAGGACCAGTGCTCGGGTTCCTTGCTCAAGCCGGGCCTTACAAAAGCAAGGTTTGCATTCCAACTGCTTTGACCTCTCAACCTGGTGCTTCTCCTAGCCCACCATTCTAAACCCTGGCTTGCAAGCAGGCCCATCCCCGCTGGCGTCGCCTTTCGCTGGCTCCGCACCCGTCGCCTGGTGCGATACCTTCAACGCAACTCGGAGGCAAGGATCCTTGGGCCCTGATGAGACTGCTGACTGGCATGCGACTTCATCCATTTCTGTAGAGGGACAGAGAAGCTATGCGTTCTCACATCTTTTCCGCAGGCTCTCAGATTGAATTTGAAGGGGCACTCCCAGCTTTGATCACGGTGTTTCCCTTGCTTCATCAGGTCTCTCCTGGGAAAGAATCCTGGGTTTCCGGCCTTCGGGCTTTTCATTTACAGGCAATCTGCTCGGACAGGCGAGGATAGCGCAAGCTTTAGACTAGGAGTCCCATGAAGGGGTTTGGAGCATGAGAAGGCTGTGCGCGATCAAGCTTGCCATGAGTTTTCTTCCAAATGTTAAGGCAACAGGCCAGTGCATGTAAGAACAACAAAACTCGGAAGCTACAACTTAGGATGATTCGGTTGCCACCCGCATAACCACGTATGTAGGGTTTAGCATTCCTCCGTTGAGAAGATTAAGGCCGTAAGTCCGATGACTTTGACTGGTTCCTGGTCTTTGACGATGGCGGCTTTCCAGTCGCAGTCCCTCAGCTGAACAGCGGAACCAATTCCCAATGCAAGCAGGTTGCATGTGGCAGAAAGTTTCGGATTTGGGCTGTCCTTTGCAAGCCTTGGCGTATGAATTCTCTTGCCTAAGTGGAGCTGATCGCAGCCGGTTGCAGTGCAATGCGTAACATTCTATTGGTGCATACTCAAGCTAGAAGCTAGCGACCAAGCAATTCTCACATGCCTTCTAACATAAGGAAATGCTATATTCTCGAGCTACACTGCAAACTACTACACTGGTCATGGGCCTAGAGGTGTTCGTTTGTGTATCCACTCAACCACCAGCGATTACGAGCCCCAACAGTGTTTTTGCAACTTGCGTCAATGATGACTTCACTAGCTCTCACATCCCAGGACCTCTTCCTTGCTCAGACATGCAATCCTCATCAGCCTCTTCACACGTTCGCAGCTTTGAAAGGAGAACATCCGGCTGTTGGTCCGCCAGTTCTCCACTGAAGAGCAGGCCCGAAGCAGCGCAGCCTGAGCCTTCAGCTCCATGTCTTGAGTTTGCATTCTCTTTGATGCAAGGATTAGGATGCTAACTTTTGATGAGCTCAAGACTTGTTTCCTGTTCCCAAACACAGAGCCATCGAACAATGTCAAGCCATCCGCGTCCCCGATTCCAGGACACGCCCATCTTACTCTCGGACAGAGAAAGGCGCATCACTCCTTAACAGGATAATGGCTGCATGTTGAGGCGCTTAAGGGCAGTTTTGGGATTGCCAAACATCAAGCAGGAGGCCTCGGAAGGCGAAGGAATCAAGTCATCATCAAAAGCATTTTTTATCGGGCACGGGCTTGCAAGATTACTCAGGGATTCCAATGAGCGAAATGAGGCTCTAAGAGCGGAATGCAGCTTGGAAGCCTACCAAATCACCGTGAAGTCTTTCCAACGTAAATGCTAGTGCCTAGCACCGCGCATAGCTTGTTGCTTCGTACAGCCGCCATAGGAATCATAGCATCCAGGATGCTCCTTGCCCAGGGCCGGTGCCTTTGGCGCTCTCTTCAACCGCGAAAGTCTACGCAGCCTGGTAGTCGCCTGGAGGAAAAGTGTAATTATCAGGTGAAGCTCAAGTAGCACGCGTTCGAATGACTAGGCCTCCTTCAATGATTCGCATAGCGATTGTCTCGCACCCACGCGCGAGAAGCCGCTGCGGACGCTGCAGGCAACCTCACAGCTTTTTTGAGAATTTTAAAAGCAGATTCAAAGTTGTCTCCTCTGCCACATGTAGACTCGTACAGGGCTCAGGAGTCCGATGCAAGCACCTACCCTGCAGGCAATGCCTGCTTTGTGGCGCTGTGGGAAGGGACTTGACCGATATGCGTGGGACGCTGAGGACAGGCCTGAACATTTCGAAGCAACAGGAGTTGGGTTATTGTTCCTGCAAGTTTGTTTAAGCTTTGGGATGATGAGGCTGATGAGGGTCTTCAATCCATTTGACCAGCTTGCTTCTTCAAGCTCAGGTTGTGGCTTCTGACTGCTGGGAGGGCTTGGATTTTGAAGGAATTCTGTGTGGCGCATGTGCAAGGCTGCATCTTTGGGCTTAAGGTACGCGGGCTTTGCGTCGCCGTTCGAAAATGCTCCTGCCGTTAACCTTCTTCAAACGTCAGCCCGTCTGGCAAGGAGTCGCTGCGTGCCTTGCTGGGCCGCTCGGAAGGCACTACAAACACCCTAGCTTCATTGCAGCTTCATGGCATTCCTGGGATAGCAATGATCTGACTGATGGTTCTTGCCTGTGTTGTTATCCGTGGTCTTTGCCTCATTGTTCTCAAGTCAGGGATCTGTGCATCCAGATTACTTTGAGATGCAGACTTCGACAAGAACACAAAAGGCATCACCACAGACCTCAACACATCTCAGTCGTGGTTTCCGAAGATTGTGCTGGAGCCCCTGATCCAAAAGTTGTCCCTTGATGCTGAACTACCCTCTCACTGTCTATGCTCAGTTTGACATTGAGGCTGCCGAGATGGGGATGAGTCGCTCGTCAACCTGAAGGCCGAAGAAGGATCTGGGGTCAGGGTACGTCCAGCAAACAGAGAGCCTCGAATTTTCTACATTGCTGGCAAAGGCGGCCGGTCAGCTTGCAGAAGCTGGCAGGTTTTGCAAACGCAGCTTCCAACAACGATCTGAAATCACCTTGGGACATCTGAGGGTTGAGTTCTCACGAAGACATGTCTGCCTGCAGTTGGGTCCAAAAAGCCGAGGCCCCTGTTTGAGGCTGCGTGCTATTTGTGGCTTTTGTGGCGATCTGAAGTCACCATTCCTTTTTCAGCTTAGCTTCAGCACCAAACCTTGTTCCCAGCAAGTTTCGTCTGGCAGGTTCGCGCAACTGGAGGAGTTTGTAAAAGGGCGCTGATGCTTGGCTGCTTCTTGTAAGGGTTGTCGGCTACCCGGAACTAAGCCGTGCAGCACGCTCTGAAGCATCATTTGTAGGGTGCGAGGCGCTTACGCTCGCAGAATGGCTTATTCCATACAACAGACCTGATGATTAAACCTGAGCGGGGAGAGCATCTAACCGTGCCGAGGCTCCAAGGATGCGGGGCCAAAACACCAAAAAGAGAGAACGCAAAAAAAAACAATGTCAAGAAAGTTGCTCAGGCTAATGACAGAAAGTGTACAAAGGCCTGAAGCCGCTGAGGCGGTCTTATCCTCCCGTTTCAGTTCTTTCGCGGCGCAGCAACTTGCATCTCACTGTGCAGGCCTCCAGCTCCTAAAGTCCTCCAGTTTTTTGGGACCTGTGTATGCCATGGTGTTGCAAGGAATTCGATAGAGTAATTGCAACTGCAAATCTGCAAATGTAAATTGCAGCTCCAGTTAAGGACTGGACAAGAAGATCCTTGCGAGGTAAGCTCTTATAAAACTTCAAAGGCCAGAAATGCAACTGCTAGATCCTTAAGCCAGATACTTCAATACGCTTTACTTGCACCTTAGTTCCAAGTCCTGGCCAAGGATGGCATACATGGTGCCAGAGCCAAGCTGGATGGTCGGAGTCTTGGAGCCTGCGTCGGGGATTTTGCCTTCTTCTGGGGGTTTCAGGGTGATGGGCTTCTGTACAATGTTTAAAGCGGTGTTGGTCATTTCAAAGGCTTGCCCTGCCGAGCAGCAAAGTATTTTATTGCTTCGTGCTACGGCTGCAGGCTCACGTTGCCTCTGCTTGCACATATGCAGATCAGGCCTCTTCCTTAAAAGTGCTGGAACATAACGTGACCTCAACATGTTCTGAAAGCTGACAGACCACCGGTTCACACCTAGACGAGATGCCAAGCAACTTGCTTCATCCGAGACAGACATCCACAAAGCGGTCTATGGCTGAGCCGATCATTCAGGCAGGGCATTCCAGGTTCGTCACAAAATCAGACCTGCCTTGGAAACCGAAGCCTCAATTCTGGCAGGCAGCTTTGCACCGCGAGCACGGCCAAAAAAAGTGCAGAAGCCACTGAGTTCTCTCTTGCGACCCTGTAGCCGCTTTCGGAGTGAGAGGCAGTGCGCACGAATCTGAAGGTGCCAGCAGATCTATCTTTTTAACCTACTGAACTTTATACGCAAAACGCGAAGATAACAACCCCCGATCACATTCTAGCAATCTCCAGGCCCAGGTTGCTGGGCCTCGGGGGCAGACTCCACTTATTTTAGTGACTTCAGAATTTCAACCTACGAGCTGTAGCTTTTGGATTTCTTGATCCTCTGTCCACAGTTCCAGCACCACCTTTTCTGCATTCTGCTGCAGGGTATGAGTCCGCACACCTTGAGACCTCCAAAGCCCTGCAGCACCAAGCACAAACAATTGTTTGGTGGCAAAAGCAGGGATCCAATGAAGATTCAAGCAGCATAACTGGCAACCAGGTCACGCACACGTTGCATGCAATGTCGTTTGGCAGCGAAGGACCAAAGAGCTGATGCAAAGGAGGACGAGGAGCCGCCTTTGATGACCAAAGCTTAGCATTTGGTGAAGGGCTATTCAGGTTCTACATGCGTCAGAGCTTTGTAGATTTGGCCGGTGAGCGGGTCAGTGAACGCTACATGGAAGCCGAGAAAGCTTCAACATGTCAGCTTCAACAGATCTCTAAAATAAGTGCCCAACAGGGTTCCAGGATGACTGTTGCAGTTGTAATGTGCATAATGCTTGAAGTGCAGAGGCGCTGGTCCTGGAGAGTGGGGGCACCTGTTGAGGCTTCGCCCGAAGACCTTGAGAACAGAATTTGCAAAAACTGACCTCAGCATGAAACAACGCAAGCCAAATAACAGACCTAGACTATGAAGTGTTATGGACTGTTGGCGGTAACCCCAAGGCTCGAAGGTGTGGGCGCCGAGCCTGTCCAGGTTGACGCGATTGTGTGGCGCTCGGATTGGCTTCCACCCAGTTGTTTCCGTGCTTCAAGACCGACTCGAAGGTTGAGGATCTTATGCATCGGATTGGGGATTTTTGGAGCCCGTGCCTCTTCCCAGGTCTTTCTCAAGGCGCTGTCGCAGGAGGAGCAGGGCCCCTTCACGCAGGACTCGGCTCAAATTCAATACTTGCAGCAGCCCTTCACCGCAAGTGCATTTTGGTGGTTGTATGAGGGGGGAATTCCCAAAAGCTTGTGTGCATCTTTACAGCCAAGTCTATTGCAGTAGAACTTCGAGCTCTGGAGGACTTCCTGTCGAAGCTGATCGTCATCCTGCATTGGCGTTTGCCTGAGAAAAGCGCCCTTCTGTGTTGCTCAATGCTCGTGGTGATAGTGAAAGGCACTTGTTCTTATTCACAAGGTCCAAGGCATTTCTGTTGCCCTGTGTTGGGGAAGGTAGCTGCTGAGCAACAAGCATTGACAGGGATCTTGCAGGCCTGGCTCACGCAGATTAGCTTCTAAGGTGGGCGGATGTTGACCTCAGCAGCCCCTTAGCGATGGTCCCGGATGACGGCTTCCAGGCAGACGCGAGTTTGGGCCTTGAGACCCTGATTGTAATTCTTCGGTTTAGGCTGTGAGGCTTGGGGCTGACAGCTTCCAGGCTTCAAGCTGTTGCTTCAAATTCGCTGGCTGTGGCTATCTGTTAAGTGTCTCGTCTGCCAAAGGTGTGATAAGAGTCATGTGACAAGACCGCCGCCGCCGCTGCTGCTGCTGCCGCTGCGTCTTCTGCCGATGATGCTGATGCCGATGGAATACCTTGCTGATGGCCTATGAAGTCAGCACCCCTGCTGATATCTAAAAGCCCAGCAAGATGAGCAAGCTCTGAACGTAGCATTCAAATTTGGTCTCGCGCAGGAGGCGCTGGACAAGGCCGGGCCAGGGCTTGAGACTCGAGGCGTGGTTTGAGGTTGCGGGGGTTGGCTGTCGGGCAGCCGGCTGTTCTTCCACAACGACTTGGCTCACTTTGAGAGTGACTGGCTGAGCTTGTGTGCTAGTGCCAGTGAATCCAGCTCACAATGCCCCCAACGCCTCGTAGCCGAAGGCAAAGCAGCGCCTCTTGAGTGTCCTAATTAAGCTGAGGGGGGGCTGTGCTCCTTTGACCCCCGCTATGGAATTTGATCGAGGCACACGTCTCAATCTGCAACCGAATCCGCATGCTTGTAGCATGCGCTTCCCTGAAGCGTTCTGCACCAATTGTGGCCAAGGCATGGCATATTCCAATGCCGGAAGCCTCAAACTCGGAGTAGGCATCAATAAGAATAGATGAACATCAATAACACAAATAAATTGACATCAGTTACAAGAGACAAACAAACATCAACAAACAATCGCCCAACTACTGCAGTTTACAGTATTTGGCAGCGGGAACGGATGCAGACACGGTAAATACAGCATTTCTAGCTCCACAGCATCAACAAATGCTGTGTTTTCTGATGCTTCCTGACTTCTTGGCTCATTCTCTTCTTCGCGGCCTCCCCCACCCCCTCTCACCCCACAACCAAGGCTTTTGTGAAGCCACCCATGCTTGCCGTAACAAAGAAGCATCATGTTGTCACCATGTTTGCAGCAGAGGATGGTTATGCAGATCCTTTTTGTTTGCAAATGGGAAGCCTGCCCCCCCCCCCAACCCCCTCGCTTTGTTTCAAGGCCGTCCATGCTTCACCATTGTTCATTATCTTGGATCAGTTCAGCATGTTTCATGCTTGTTCATCGTTGTTCTTCACTTGGGATGTTTCTTGAGAAGTTTTCATCAAATACATCATGTTTCATTGCTTTTCACCGTCTTGCAGCAGTTTCCATGATCTCCACATTTTCAATAATTTTCATCAGTTTTCCATAGTTTTCATCATTTTTGATTTTTTTCATCATTTTCATGATTCTTCATCATTTCTAATCAACTTTCATCATGTTTCATCATCTCTAATCACATTTCACCATTTTCCTCGCTTTTACCATGTTCCACCATATTTCATGGATTTTCATCATTTTCATTTCTTGATGTGGCTGGACATGCTGCAATTTCTACGGTTTTGCTAGGATTTTAGTTTGTGTCCAGTGTTTTTTCTTGATGCGGGTTTCCATTTCATTTTTGTTGATGTCCGTTAATTTTTTGATGCTGCACCCGTGATATCTAGGGATTCAATGGTTTGAATTGGCACAACTCAGAGTCCAGACCACATGCCCCCTGTGAGAAGGTTCTATACCGCTTGCATAGGCTCGTGGAGCAACTGTGCCTTGCTGTCTGCAGTCCCCATCAAACGTTGACTTGGAAGACGTTCCGGGCTGTGTGTGCTGCCAAGGCTTTCATCCTAAACAGCCCGAATTCTCAGACCCTACCCGACCCGTCAGTAGCCCCAGAGGATCTTTGTGAAGGCCAAGATAAAGCGCGAGCAAAACAAGTTACACGGCCTGTAAGAGCCCTATGCCCGCGTACTCTGGCGCAGATCATGAAGTCCGAAGAAGGGCTCTTCGTGAACCACCCCAACTCGCCTTCCTGGCTTTCCAACATGCCGCAGCACACCAAGGATGTTGGGATTTCGGATGGTCTTCTAGTAGATATGTCAGGCTTTTTCCTAGCCCGGTGGCATGCTACCGTACTGGGCTCTACCAGCACTTGTACCTTTCTTCTTCACTCAGCCATGCTGCCAAAGTAGGGCACTTTCTCAGGAGACACGGTGGAACCGACTTGTTCAACATGCTTCCCCAAGAATTTGCTGGTGGCATAAATGGTGAAGGAACCTCTCAGTGCTCAGAATTCTCATGGCAGCGAAGTCTACACAGATCTGCAGGGTCCTTGCCCTGAAACATATCTGCAGTTTGAAGCGTCCCTTAGTATATAGGGTTCCTGGTTACACAGGCAAGCCTTAAGATTTGAGTTACATGCTCAGATTCGTCCCATTATGTGTGTTGTTTCATGAGGGGGCGAGGACTGTTGGGTTGGGACTTGTCAGCCATACCGACCATCGAAGAACCACAATGGCGTGCAAGGAAAACCAACACGTGTGTCAATTTCGGAGTAGCTACAGCTTCAGCACCTCAGCCCCTTGACGGGTAGCTTTCTGATGCGTATGCAGCCAAAACCCATGGAAAGCAAAATAAACGAACTGAACCGCACGACCTCTCCAGATTCGAAGAGCGCGCGTTCACGTTTCCGCATAAAATCCTGAGATAACAAGAAGCCTTCTACCAATACCAGAGCGGACGAAGACATCTACAGCCTGGTGACCAGTGAGTATCACATGCTGTAGGGTGATGACTGCACAGGACGTGTTCTGCGTCAACATGTTCTGCCTCGACCAGGCCCTGCTCGGGGCAAGGGTTTTGCAGTGGCACGTGGCTTGAAATTAAACCCCTGCTGAGATGGCTTAGAATCCCCGGTTCAAGCAGATGGTCCAAGACCCAGGCCTATCAGACACAAGCTCTGGACTTCCTCTTGTCTGGCGCCCAGCAAAGATGTTAGGCCATGCACAGCTATTGGGAAGCTAAAGTTAGGGTGCCATCAAGCCACTGCATGCTGAAGTACGAAGACTGGAGCACAGCTTCAGTGTGGAGAATGAATGGTGTAAGTCGTGCAAGTGGCAGTGTACGTGGTTGCATTTTTTAGCGTTCTCAGTTTCCTGCAGTCTCAGATGCTTGGGATCGAGGCCTGCGTTTTCCCTTTTCCCCGACAAGGACGTTGTGTGCTCAATCATGTTTGAATCTAGGCCCATTCAATTCACAGACCTTCAGCCAGAGCAAAACTGTGGAGAGTTGCCATACATCACTGCAATACCTAGACTCTTAGTCCTGGTGGAGTGCGGCCAACCTGGAGGACTATTGCATCATCACGCAGCCGCACACAGCACCCAACACTCCCTTGCTCAATGCGTTCGCGGCCCAGGGATCTGATGCTGAGCTTCTTCAAGCGGAGCCGTGTTCAAACCTTGTCCAACCGCGCACCAATCGCATTTAAGCAGTCATCCAGTTGGCATCAAGTCGGACTGCATTTGTTTATCTTGTCAAATCTTGCAGCCTGGCTACAATTCGGCCTTTCAACTCATCCCTATTCTTAAGTCTTGATTTGATTAAGTATCACCACTTCGGCCAAGCACGTCCCATGAAGCTCAAGCTCAGGTTTTCCATCGTTCCACCGCAACCACAGAACACCTTCGGCCGCCTGCCTGTTCAGGGGTATGTAGTCATGAGGTGTAAAGTCTCGAAAAGGTTTTCACAGTGCCTCCGAGCCCCGAAGCAGGGCTGCTTGCCTGGTGTCACTTTGCTGGAGGCCACGTGCTCTTCTTGATCCACAGAGCTGCGCTCCTTGGGCCTCCGAAGGCGACTGAAATGCAGAGCCTGAAAAATTGCCTCGAGGGTCTGTGTTTCACTGTGTGTGAAGGTGTCTCTTCTCAAACCACACCTCTTGGAGAACGTAAAGCCGCTGCTTGAGGTCTGCGGCTGGGAAGCTATGCTGTTGGGAACAAAGTCGAAGCGTGCCTGTTCGCGGCATTCGCTTAGGTCTTCGAAGACGAGACGCGGCAGGAGCACACTGATACACAACATGGCAGCGCAAGGCATTGTAAGACTTGACTGCCTGCAAGCGGTTTTCAAAGGGGATCTTCCCTCCAAACCCTGCGAACTTCGCCGGGCGAGTGGACTGACTGATGCCAAAACCTCACAGAGTCAAGGCCAGATCACTCAGCAAAGTGAACTTTGATCCATTACCGTTGCTGAGCTTTCCTGTCGTAGAAGACTGCAAGATGATGAACCGCGACTGGCCTTTGTGCTGCTCGCTTTGGGTTTAGAAGTGTACACATTCAAGCGCCCGTTTTGAGTGCTGAACACGTCATGATATAATCACATCGGACCAAGCCTCAAGATTTGTGGAGGTGTCCACAAGGCCCTCGCATGCCAGCAAGACGTTGACTTCCCTAGACAGGGACAGTTGGGAATTCCAATTAGCCACCGACAAAAAGACTCCAAAAGCCCATGATTCTAAGTGAATACCCCTGGCGCTCCACCCTTAATGGAACATGCAGAAGACTTGTCGGCCGCGACCTTCGGCCTTCACCCGCAAATGCATCGGGCGTAAATTCCCAGGAGATCCTCCAAGAGTGCCAGACCTACATCAGAGCTGCGCACTGAGTTGCTGCTTGGAGTTTCCGGTTTCACAATGGGCATTTTGGAGTAGAAGATCTTGCTGGTCTGCTAGGGTTTCATAAGTGGAGGAGCTCGCAAGGTGGAGCACAATGGGGTGGGGGGAAGAGGAGCACAAGCAACCAAGAAGCAAGCCAGAGTTCGCACGCATCAGAATGGATGATATTGACGCCCAAGCCTTACGAACACAATCTTCCTCCAATCCTTAGCATATCTTGCCTGTCGAAGCAACCAACGCAACGCGCGCTCGCCAGCCATACTGTAAGCCATACAAGCTGGGCTCTGTCAGGAACATAGAAAGAGTGAGCTGGAAGTGTTCGTGGCGGAGTTCGACGAACAGGTCTCAACGGGATTGCAAACAGTAATACGCGTGCATCAAGCATGGTCATGTCCTTACCACTCCAAGGAGGATATTGTTAGCCCTGCTGTGAAAAAACATGGCTCTCGGGCTGGATATCGAGCAAAGCCCTGGCCCAGCAAGTTGCAGCTTTGCTCAGAACTCAATACAGATTCGGAGCACAGCCAATGGTAGCTTGCAACTGGACTTGATTGAAGGTCTTACAAGCCCTATTGATTGGGTATTCAGGCTTGCAGCGTCTTTTTGCACACCCGAAAGAAGCCCAAACGGATTTACAAGCAACAACTAGCCTTACAAGCCTTACATGCCGCGCGCAATGGCATGTCGATCATGTCGCAATGCGATTCTCATCTGCTTGCTGTGGGTCTATTGCTGCTATCACGATCTGGTCTTTGCTGGATTGCACTCTCCTGCCAAAGCAGCTGGAGTTGCTCGCTTCGCCAGCCAGAACCCACTCAGACTGCCCAACAATCCGAATCCATTTGACTTGCTGGGCGTGAAGCGTGGAACAGACAAGTCGGAGATCAGGACATTGGGGATTTTTTTACCTACCTCTGCAAGTCCTGAAGCATGCCCGAACACAATCTAAGACTGCATGCTGGCATGTGTTGTAGCAGCGAAGGAAGCTGTTTCGGAAGCGGGTGCAGACTGAGCATCCTGATGTTAACCCAGATGATGAAGCAGCTTGGTTTTTCACGAGCGTGCACTTTCTCACCTTCTTTTGCTTTTTTTGCGCAACCACTAAGGAAACCCCTACCAGAGAAGGCCAGGTATAGCTTCACGCGGTCTGTGTCTTATGTGAGCAGCTCTCCTTCATGATTCCACTGTAAGGCCATCGAAAGACGAAGACTTCCAGTGAATCCACATCCAAGCCGTCATCGGCAAGCCCCCACGTAAATCCTGTCTAGGTGAATCTGAGATCTACCAATTTCAGATCCCAGGAAGCTGCGGCTCGTTTTCAGGAGCTCGTGGGCGCTTACAACGCAGTCATGGGCGACCGCGCTGAATAACGCAGCTTCAAGACGTCAGATTTAAGCGTGATTGGAAGAGGTCCAGGGCTGGTTCCACAGATCCGCCGAAAAATGATCCACGAGACAGGTTCTGACAGCCCTGCATGTTGCAGCTGCAGCTGACGAGCCCAAACTCTAAGAGCACTTCGCACCTTGTGGGAATACCAAGGTGATGAGCTCTTGCCCGACGAGCTCAACTTTGTCCGCGTGCAGATGACTAAGCGCTACAAGAAAGCTTTGGAAGCTGACCAGTCCGTGACTTGGCATGAATCCGAGACTTCCCAGTCCTACCTCACTGTTTCCAACTTGCAGCATCCAGAGGGCAACTTCGGGCAACTCCCTAACATTCCAGCCCTGCTTGGCGTTGTGCATTCTGTGCAGGCCAAGAACGGGATTTTCTACGCACTGTTGCCGGGGCTGGCAATCACAGTCATTGGCATCTCATTTTTTATCATGGACGCTCTGGGCATGTTGGATCCACAGACAAAGCAGATGTTGGACGCGGTGAAGGGCAAGGGAGTTTAGAGTGTGATGCTGAAGTCTCCCCCAGAGTGCACCCCAACATGGGCTGGCACCTACTGACGACAGCATCACCCCGTGGCGATGGGTGAAAGAGTTCGGGATCTCACTGCCGATGGCCATGCAAGTGTGCACACCTTGCACCGCCAACGCACACGTGCTTTAGAATGGAAGTTTGGGCGTGCCAATGCCATGAATCCCCGTTAAGCCAAACTTGCAAACGCTCACGTTTTCTCGTGGAATTCATGCAGGTCGATGTGGGAGCCAGATTAGGTGCTCAGAGGTAGTCAGAGGTCATGGATCAGCTGGCATCGCTTTGCACGTACAGTGAAGCAGAAAGTGCGGAACCCACACTTCCACACCTGAAGTCCCTCAGACCTTAAACCCATGAACGCACGCTCATTTGTAGTGTAAAGACTTATGCAAAGTAGAGTTTTCAAGTAGGGCTCGATGGCAGCATGGTGCACATGAGATTGAACCCCTCTCCGTCCTACCCCGCGCCGTCGACTACATACCAGGTTGTTCCTGTGGCGCGCCAAAGTGCTGCCTTTGCCCGGATATACCCGAACGGCATAAGTTAAATCCTATCCAGAACTGGCTTTGTATCGAGATTGCTAGACAAGGGTTGTACAAGCTTCGGCTGCATGTGAACTAGTTGCAGCAGTAGTTGTAGTCGAATCTCGCGTGGAGTGGAGGCACGCTGCGCGATGTACCCTTTGTTGTCACAGCCATCTGTGATATGAGTTGCCGTCAATGCCAGGGATATCGCGGCACCATCAAGGGCGGAAGGGGTCCTGGTCCCTTTCGTAGTTGCCCGTCCATCATTCATATGGGAATTATGACTGTAGCTCACACATTGTGAAAGAAGGGTGCATGTGCAGCGCTCATGAGAATAGAGTGGGGCTTCATGGTGGGATCATTGGAATCCTGCAGTTGCCAAATTTGCGAGTCGCTTTTTTTGGAAACGCTTTTTGCCTGCAGGCCGTGGGACTAATCGTGTGTGGAACTCAGTCTCAGGACTGGTAGCCCTAGAGTCGAAGCATGACGTTGTAGCTTGGAGAGACCCGTGGCTCGCAATTGCAACATGTTTTTGACTGAGGGTTGAAGTAATCGGCGGACTCGAACGCCCCTCCCACAGCATTTCTCTAAGGCTCCAGATGCCCACGGCGGACGTAGTCAGTCGGTTGGAGAGCCCAGGATTATGCAAATGGCTGCAGAGATCGCGGGCAGTTTCCATCGCTGGTTAGCTTCATTTCCCCCTTTTCATAGGAGCTTGCGACATTCGGGGCATTCTGGATTTGAGCATCCAATTTTTGATGCGGCTGCCGAAACACTGTTGGAACACTTGGAGCTCCGATGGGCGTTTTTTGCCCTGCAGGCTTTGCTTGGCCCATGTCAGTTGTCAAGTTGACAAAGCTTACTATGCTGATTCCATTGCAGCCTTCTCGGTGGAGCCCTGCGCAGACCTCCTCCTTCTTTGCTACTTGCTGCCAGTTACTTCCTCCAATTAAACTTTGCATCGTGTAGTTTCATGTCATAATATGTCATATCTGGACAGCACAGCTGGTTGGCGCGCGATGCGCACGCTACTTCCGAAGGGTTGTTGCATGGCCGGTTCAACAAGGCTGAGATGCTGCTATCATCTGGACGACTACCTTTTAGTGGAGCACCACGAGAGTGGCAACCCGAACAAGGTCTGGCTGTGTTGGGATGTTGCAGGAAGTCAGGCCACAGGTTCAGCATTTGTATTGTCATCGGCGTGTTCGAGCCAGCTGGGGATTTGGCACTGACTCTCTTTTTGTTGCGTTGTCGTGCTCAGCTGTTTCTTGCCTCTTTGATGGACCAGCAACATGCTCGCATCCGCATTGTAATTTTGCTGCCACATTATTGACCCTTTCGTGCATTTTTTGCGGACCCGAATTTTACTGACTCTGCTGTTTTAAGCAAGGCCCAAATCTTGAGTAATTCTCTACACCAAGAGGAACCCAAACCCAAAACCTGAGTAATCCTCTACACCAAGAGGAACCCAAACCCGTGAAGTGTGGGCACATCCAGATGCTGTAGGTTTTTCTAGAAACTCTCCGATTGACGCAGGGCCATGTCCGCTTGCTCCACTGGGTGCTGCACTGTGGCTGAGACATTCAAGCTTTGTGGTTTTTTGAATTGATCCTTCCTGGATCTTCTTCTTGCAGTCCTTGGTTATATATGTAAGGATTGCTACACAAGTTTGTGGGCTTGGGGTTGATGTCGCAGCGTCTGAGTCCAGCATCCTACTCCCCGCAAGCAATGTCAATGTGTTGCTGGCAAGTGCCATCCCCTTTGTTTCAGCAAGAAGTTGCCGTGCATGCAGCGTCCATGACAGGGAGTTTGGTCTGATTTCCGCTATTCTGCAGGCACCCAGGTAACAGGGAGCATTTGCCACCTCCGCCTACTCACTACACTGGACATCACTAGACTTGCGAGATCACTTCTTTAATGAGATGGCAAGCCTGAAGACCACGCGCCTTCAAACTTGGGGCTGGAGATGATCTGCCGTGTTGAAGAAGCTGTCCTGCATTCGCGCGTAATTCTGCAAAGAGAGACCTAACAGCATGTCCAGAGCCCTGATGTTCTGAGCTATTTGAGGGCAAACTGACTTTCAAGGAATCCCCTCTTCCAGAAATACACCCGGCGTCTGCTGCAGGCCCCCCTGCATTGCTGTTGTAAGTCGAGGGATGCCGAGCTTGGGACCATTTCAGTTTTTGTTGCGCAGGGTGAGGTGGCCTGCCTCTTTTTCTTATGGGCGATTATCCAGTTTCTGATCTCAAGCTTGTTTGAGAATTGCTATGCCTAAGGCGATGTGCAATCCAGAGTTGCCCCAAAAGTCTTGGCTCCAAGCTGCCCCGCCTCGCAAATTTGCAGTGCCCCAACCCAAAAGCAATCTTTATGGGCGCACGGTTTCTTCCTTCATCGGGTTGTCGGTTTCAGTCTTGCGCAGGGCGTGCTGCGAATCTGCGGCAAGACAGCGCTCTTCGCCGACTTCTGAGAGTTCTGCGTTGCTGCTTGCCTCCCTCTTCGGAGACCCTGCCACACCGAGAGGCGAGAAGCATCCTTCGGTCCTATCTACGAATCGGCAATCACCACCGCCATCACTGCTACGATCCCTACCACATCCTTACCAGCCCTACCACAACCACTACCCGCACACCTCTCCACCCCCCTACCACCACAGTACCATCCCTATACACATCTTTGCCAATGCTATGTAAGATGAAATGAGCTGCAAACCACAAAGAGCTTTCACTTCCATCCTGAGTTCAAGCGACCTGAGGGATCCCCAGTGTGCCCTTCGAACAAACAGAACAGCATATTGCTGGGGAACCTCTCCCGAATTCTAGATGCTTTCGACTACCATTCACAAAGCAGTCTCCAGGTAAGGTGTACTTTCTGTTGCCACTTGCTCATGTTTTGCTTGCTCAGTTGGAGACAGAGCTGACGTCCTCCGTATCTTCGATCTACAGGCAAACCGGTTCCATTGGGCAGGTTCCTATCTTGAAAGGACCCAAGTGCTGTAAAGCATGATCTGTAACCAGGTTGGTATTGTTGCTGCGGGTCCTGTGGAACGGCTGGATGGTTCTTGCACTTTCTAACATTACGGCAGAAAACGGTTCAAGGGGGCAGCTCACGGGTGGGTTCACACAGGCCTGAATTTATCTTGGGAACGGAGTGAATTAAGTGAAAGTAGAGAATACAAGCAGCAAAGTGAGACAAGGACATGAATTATGGGGTCCTGAGTTCACTTCTTGACTCAGTTCTTTTTGTAGGATAACACGCTTCTTTTACTTGAGTCTAGATTCTAAATTAGACCTAGATTTCACCTCTGGGCTTTGACCTGCATGAGTTCTACACGGGCGTGTTATTCCCAGCTCCGGTTTCTGCAAGATCTGCTCGGCCAGGGAGCTATTGCAAGTAGCCCCGCGGCGGTGCTAAGCTCAGAATTAACTGGAGTGCTTGCAGTCATGAGATCCGTTGTCCGATCAGGTATAATATGCCAGTCGATGTCGAATATGGAATGGAATCAGATTGTAATTCCTGTCATTTCCTGCCCAATGAGGAAAAGTAAAGCATGCAAAGTCCAAGGTTAAAAGTAGCAAAAGTAGAGTTTCATGTGTGTGTGTGTGTGTGTTTTTTTTCTTTTTTGACTTGATTTTAGGTAGAATGTATTTGATGTTTTTCATGAGGGTTTGCATCATTTTGCTTCTAGGGGTTCTCCATACATGTAAAGAAAGATGAGGGGTAGCTCAGGAAGCAATGTTTGAGTCTTTCATTCCTAGAGGTTTTAAAGCAAATCCGATCTCGGAATCAGCTGTCTTTTTCTCTTTCGAGGAGTTATCAAGTCATCAGGCATAGTTTTCCTCATTTAGGATCTGAGGCTTCAAGATCTAAGCTATAGCTTTTAGAGTCTCAGGATTTCTAACTTGAATTAATCTCCTGATAAAGAAAAGCCTTGCTGATTTTCTAGGGTCTGGAAATACAGTTCTTTAAATCGCGTCTCTTTGGGCACCAAAAATGCCTCTGCTTTGAAGGTGCGCCTTGACCCGACAAAGTGCCCGCAACAATTTCTTTGTTTTTTTTTGGTTTAAATGTTGAGCTCGGATGAAGCTGAATCCGGCCTTCTCCAATGAATCCTTGAAGGGCCGCAGCATTCTTCTAACCGTAAATTGGGCACCTGGAAACCTTTCTAGCCTGAATTCTCTGCACCTAGGCATGATGCATGACTTGCCCGACAGTGCAAACTTGAGTTTTTTCATGAATCCTCTATATTGGCGCCTTAATCTGAACGTTGCGTAGACCTGCTGATACCTTCAATGACCCCGCACTTTCATCAATGGATTTCAAGCTCCGACTCGAAAGGCAATGACATCAGATTTGCTAGCGGGGTACTGGCGGCTTCAGACCTTCTATGGATGAGGACAGAGTGAATCACCTTTGGCCTTCTCAGCGTATGTTACATGAGAAATAAGTTGCTGGCTTACTTCTCCAACATAACGTGTCGTTTGCATGTCACTGACAAATTCTGAATCCTATGAGGCCTCCGCAGCTCAAAAAGATCTTACGGGAGCCGCCAAAGGCACGTGAAATTCTTAGCTTTGCGGCTTGCGTCTGGGACGTGGGGACGGTGGATACTCGAAGTCTTTCGCAGAGGGTTGTCCTGGCATTTTTTTTGGCTGGCACATTTCAGAAGATCCCGCATGGCATGGAAATTCGCCTTTGAGCGCCAAGGCCGTGTGTGAACTAGCTTTGTGTTTCTCACCCACGACTTCCACCTTGCCAGCTTAAGCCCCAGAAGCCTCATTACAAGGGCCAAGGTCAGGTTTGGCAGTTTGTGTGGACAGGTAGTGAGAGTACCTGGTCAGAAGCACGCGAAGCTGCAGCATCCCTTTATAGACAGATATTGGGCATCCCAAGGAACGGTCTACAACAACCATAACCACATCCTCTCCTTGAAGTCCTTTTGAGAAAAAGCCTGGTCCTCTTTGCAGGTGGCATCTTTCTGCAACATCGAGGAAGAGCTTCCGACAGAGGATTCAGCTGCTAGCTGCCAAGCACACCAAAGCCCCGTAGCATGAAACCTGAGCCTTTGAAGGCCGCGAAACCTGACTTTCAATCAGCTGCCGCATTTGTTAAATGTGTTCTTGCGTCTGGATGTTTCAACATATGGACAATCAGCTGTACAACAGAGACCTTTTGCACCGTCTCGTTTTGGATTCGAGCCTACGATGTGACAATTGCCAGGCATGCTCAGCCCAGATCATAGAAGATGGAAACTCTTAACCGTAAGCGGAAGTTGGCCCACGTGTCCCAGGAGGATTTGCTTGAGAAGGAGCGGCAAGAGATGCTAAGGGACTCGGAGCAGACAAAGGCCAAGCGCTGCCCTCACTTTCCAGTCCAGCAGAAATCGGAGAAATGCAAAGTGCATGTAGCTGTAGTGAAAGATGATGGGTTTGGACTCGGAGTCAGGGACTCTGAGGTTGGTGTCTGAGAGGTAGAAGGGATTTCAAGGATTTGGGGACCAGAACATCCCGCGCTTGACTGCGAGTCCGGCACTTCTGAACGTGCACAGAGGGTGTCTGAGTCAGAAAGGTACTTGCACATCCAACTACGCTGTCAACTACGCTGTTAACTACCATGCCTACAGAGCAGCACTGTAGAACCTTCAACTCTTGGCAAGCCATGCAAGCCCCAGAGCGACGATCTCGATTGATCTCAGGGCCTTGTTCGCCTTGAAGTGACGTGTCCTGGCCAACCTTGAGCTTGGCGCCAGGCTCTCTCCATTGTTGCCAAGAAGCTGCTGGGAACCTGGTCAGCTCCGAAAGTTGTGGATGTCTGGTCAACTGTGTTGTGTCTCATCTTCCTGAAAGAAATCCATCCCGCGACACCTGGCAAATGGCCACATAAGCCACGTGAGCTTGGAGTGTGTTGCGTTTCACGAACTGAAGGCGACGGACTCAGGCACTCGCGGAACAACTCAAGGTATTATTGGCTGAGAATCTGGGGGTCGCAAGTGGTAGGAGTGCGCATGGGTTACGTGCTGCGGGGATCGGATAAGAAGGGCACTGCAAAGGATGCAATGTCGTTCAAAGAAGAGTCGCTGGCCAGCAAGTCATAGTCTTTCAATTATTCAGAATCTCCTTCAGCAAATGTTAGCTCCAGCGTATGGACTGAGTTAAAGCAAGGTTGAGCGAGACGAAGATTCCAGTGAATGCGCGGATCGTTGTAGTTGGTGCTAGTGACTGTGGGCTGTGCCTGGGCTGCACGTGCAACCTTTCATGCTGAGGTGGGGGTTGGAAGGTCTTAGGCTGAGGAACTTACCAGCTTGAGGGTGCCATGAGATGCACGTGATCCCAGCATTAGCAGCATTTGGCAATTTGGCAAGTTGCAGCATTTTTTGCAGTCTGCTTCAGAGCCATGAGATGGGATTCTTTTGGGGTTGAGAGGAATGGGCATTCTAGGATTGCAAGCTTCGCACGCCATGCTGGCCTAAAAGAAACAGAATTCTCAGTCTCCGACAGCGAGCTGCCACATCTTAAGCCAGCACTTATTTGCCATGTGTTATGAGGCCCAAACCTTTCACCAAATGCCCGGCTCTGGTTGAGCAGGCCTGCAGTTGAAGCTCATACGGAACCCCTGCAGAAAAGTCCAAGGGATCCAAATGCTCCGTTCGCGCTACATATCCTGACAATTTCAATTTTTCAGTAGGAGCTTTCCATATGATGGAACCTCTAAGAAAGTGTTGCGCAAACAAAGTTCTCTGTTCCCGGCAAAGTTACACCTCGCTCGTGCGTCCCAGGTATAAAAAGACTCATACTTGCTTACAAATTGTATAACCTCCGTGATTGCTTTATGAGAAGGCTCTCAGCCTCCCACCTTGAACCTCTACTTTGCACTCCTTTCGTCGTCAAAAGACTCTTAACTCCCGATTCTGCCAGCCTGATAAAGGTCCTTCCTGGAAAGCCTTCTGAGCATTCCTCACCTGCATTTCAACTCTCTCGCGCTGCTCGTGCGGGTGCCAAGGGTTCCCGACCTGTCTCGCCGGATAGTGGGACCTGCTTGAAGGATCTGGCCGTGTTTTTGTGGGCTTAAGAGGAGAGCTAGAGCCGCTTGTGTAGGCTCAAGGGTTTCCAGTGCCAGGAACACACTGCACGCGCGTTCTAAGGGCAGCTTGGTGTTTCGGACGTGAAAGGAGAATGTTCCATGCATCTCGCGATGATAGATGGCAGGATGGACCAAGTGCACAAAGTAGGCTGGTGGAATGGTTCCACCGTGAAGGTGATGAGTTGTGGGTTCTGCAGTGCCATAGTTGGTGTTGGAGGGTCATTCCTCCATTCCGTGCCTTTCCGGGCTTTTGCCCTTTGTGTGGAGTCGTCGTGGACAGTGGTTGGTTAGGATCAAGGTGCCTCACGACGAAACATACTGAATCTCCGCAAAGTCTGGGTTTGCGCCTTCCTTCGGATGCCTAAGGTGTAGCAACAAAAGATGAAACACGTTTGTAAATGTTCCAGCTTGATAAGATGCTTTAACAGATCTGTCAAGTTTCTCTTTTTCACAAGCATCCCTAACAAAGTGCCAGACTTTTGGCCTGCCGCCTGCGGAGCCCAAATCATAATCAGAAGTCAGAACCCTCACTGTACCGTACATTATCACCCTCAGCTCGGAAGCATTACCTCTGCCATTCTCAGTTTTGCTCAGGCTCCTGGCGGTCTAGAATATCATCACGCACATCACCTGCCCCTTGTAGCAGGCATGACTTGGATAGGGATCTTGGGTTGGCCATGGGCTTTTGGCAGAAGCATTGCATGGGACATCTCACTAGAAGCCGCTCCGAACGTAATGTGTGTACGTTTTACCTGCCTGCTCTTAGACTTGCACAGTACTTCTCAGCCTAACCACAGCTATGTGTCACAAGGCAACGAAGCTGTCACATTGCTGGAAGTCAAGAGTGAGACAAAATTAGGCTAATGCAAGCAGCCCTAGCATCTGGAGTTTACGACGCTCGCCAGATTCCATATCTGCCAAAGGCGATCAACAAATGGACAAGACAAAGCATGCATTTGCGGGTATGTGAGCGGTGTCGCTGTTGTGGTGGGCGGTGTAGGCGCCGTGGGGTACTGGTGCGGCGCGTGTGTGCGCGGTGTATAGTCCTGGTGTATGTGAGCGGTGTGTGTGTTGTGGTGGCCGGTGCAGGCGCCGTAGTACTGGTGTGGCGTAGTTGCTGTGATGTACTTGAGCGGTGCAGGGGTCCTGGTGTATGTGAGCGGTGTAGGTGCTGTGGGGTACTTGGAGCAGTGTGTGCGAGCGGTGTAGGTGCCGTGGTGTAAGGGGTCGTCGATTCCCAGCATAAGTCTCAAGACGCTCCAAGCGCCGGCGCCGCCACCCACCCAAAACAGCGAGAAGGTCATCGATTTCGCACAGAATTCTCAGGACGCTCCGCGCCAGCGCCGCCACCGCCCAAACCCATGAGAAGGTCGTCGATTCCGAACAGAATTCTTAGGACGCTCCACGCGTCATCGCCGCCACCCGCCCAAAACCACGAGAAGTTCATCAACTCCCAAGATGCTCCATGCGCGTGCCACCACCCGCCCAAAACAGCGAGGAGGGCGTCGATTCCGAAAAGAATTCTCAGGACGCTCCACGCGCCAGCGCCGCCCCCCGCCCAAAACCACGAGAAGGTCATCCATCGATTCCGAAAAGAATTTTGAGGACGCTCAAGAACGCTCCACGAGCCAGTGCTGCCACCTGCGGAAAACAACGAGAGAGTCGTCGACTCCAAACCGAATTTGCAGGACGCTCCACGCGCCAGTGCGGACACACCCCGAAAACAGCAAGAAGGTTCGCAATCCACGTTGAAAATTCGCACAGCGCCACAGCGAGAGCATTTCAACATGCACGAAACCCGCGGAGGGTTAGCGAAGCCATCCCAAAATTCGCACGGGGCCACAGCCAGAGCGCTTCGACACGCCCTAAACCTGCAGCGGGTTCGCGGACGAAGTTGGAAATTCGCACGGCGTCACTGCGAGAGCGGTTCGACACGGACGAAATCTGACCGCTCACATACACCACACCACAGCTCCTACACCGCTGACATACACCACGCCGCAGTCTACACCTACACCGCTCACTAACGCCGCACCACAGCACCTGCATCGCTCACCTACACCACACCACAGCATTTACACCGCTCGCCTACACCATACCTAAGCACCTCTTCTATTTCCTCTCATTTCTGTAAAGCCGGGGTAGGTTTGACGTGGATAGGCGGGATGCTGTAATGTGTGCAAGGCAACCGTTTTTTTGATGAGGAACCCTTCGCGGTGCTTTCGGGAAAAAACATCCCAGAACCTTCCAGGGTCTCAAGGCCTCCGCCGGCCTCCCAGGGCCTGGGCCTTCCCAGCCTCCACAGTTTTGTTTCCCCATCTCTCTGCAATACCTGTGAGAGTAAGTGAAGGACAAAGTCCTTGCTCACCTGCCATTCTCCTTACAGTCTGGATAGCATCAAAATCGCATTACTCTTGGTAGGACTCGTGCGCCATGATTGCATAGAGCTTGCGAGCTGTACCGACCTTGACCTTTGTAGCTCAAGTGGCAACACGTTTGGCCCAAGACCAAAAAGGGTGCGTGTGTTCTGTTTACTTTACTTTGTCTTGTTAACTGAACTTGCAGTACATCATTTTCCTGAAACTGTCAATTGGTGGAATGTTTGTATCAAGCCTGTGGCTCAGAGCCCCCCTGCAGGAAGCATTCAATGCCATCATTTGAGGGTCACGGATCACGGCAACAGCTCAACACACAGTTCGGGAACATAGCAGTACTGCAAGCCTCAACTCAATCGACGAACTTTGTCCCTCGCTCGCTCCGACAGGTATTAGCGAAAGTCAGCGATTTCACCACTGCTTCTTCCGATACCCTGTCAGCTCTCTGAGAGTTTTAACATGTGCGGCGTGCGGGGAGGCAGAAGGACTGCTTTCGTGGGGCCAGCAAGGAGTCCAAACAGAGTTTGCTGTGCACAGCTCACCGAAGCCTGCATGCGAACGTCCCTTGCGTGCGTGAGCTGCCCGTTCACTGCCCACATTTAGCACAGCACCCACACCGCACCACATACACCAGGACACCTACACCGCGCACATACACCACAGCAATTACACCGCGCCAGTACTCCACGGCACCTACACCGCCCACATACAGCACAGCACCCACACCGCAACACATACACCAGGACACCTACACCGCGAACACACACCACATCAACTACACCTCACCACTTCACCATGGCGCCTGCACCGCCCACATACAGCACGGCACCTACACCACCCACATACACCACAGCAACTACACCGCACTGCGACCGTGGCACCTAGAACACGGCTAGATACGCGTCCGTTGCTAACGTCGGTCTAGTTTTGGGGGTTTTATGTTTTTGCCATTGCTCTTGTAGGGTTTGGAAAAATCCGCCCCGAAAGTCTCATCAGGTGCTCTGCAGATCTCTGCAGACATGTTTTTTTCGGTTCGATGATGGATATGAACGGCTTCTGCGCGGCTAGCTGTGTAGCCATGAAAGGGGACACGCAAAGTCGGCAGCCTTTGCCATGGTTCAGAGGTGTTGCAACTACTCGGTCATTTCCCTTTCCAACCCCATAACGTCTTGGCCCCACGTGCTGGAAAATTGCAGACCCTACCTTGGGGGCAAGTGTCCAAGTTTGACATGCGGCAGGCACTGCAGCCTACTCGCACCAAGAGTTGCGGCGGATCATGTTGGAGTTGAGGCCTGGTTCATAGTTGATTGCGAGCTTGAGCGGGAAGAGTAAGTTGACGGTTCTGATTTTGGCGCGCCGGGGAGCAAGTGCTGGGGTCGCTTGGTCATATACTGGTTGACGCTGAGGTGGCTTTAAGGCGACCAATTTCCAAAGTGCAGTTGGTACTGGTTTTCAGGCTGAGTGCTGGGGTCAGCTTGTCTGAGTAGAGGGACGGCTAGTCCGCTCGGAACTCAGCCTGAGTGTAGCCCTGGGGCGTAGCCCCGCGAAGCTTCCAATATTGCCGGCAGATTTCTCAGGGACGCTTGCAAGTGCCCGGCTCAAGACGGCTAGAAAGCTATTAGCTGCCACATGCTGCAACCATGCAATTGCGAGGCTACCAAGAACGAATTGTTACAGAAGTCCGTGCAGCAGGAAATGCGATTGTTGTTCTTCCAACAGGTGCAGGGAAGACACTGATCGCATCAGAGCTGATCACTGGACTCGGTCCTCCGTGCTTGGTGCCAACCTGCATGCTTGTGGAGCAACAGGCCCGGGCCGCGCGTGAGTGGACAGGACTTCAAGTTGCTGAGTTCATGGGCGGAGTTTCTGTACCTCAGCGATTTGATGTTCTGGTATCAACTCCCAAAGCTTTTCAAATGACACAGTCCAGGGGAGCTGCAAGCTTCCGTTTTCAAGGCTTCAAGCTGGTGGTCTTTGACGAGGTGCATCACGTGCTTAAGGACCACCCTTATCGAAAGCTGGCACTGTCACTATCAAAGTTGACAGATGGCAGACCGCAAGTCCTGGGTTTGTCTGCTTCTCTCACATACGCTATCGGAGAACGCAAGGTTGAGAGCGATTTGACGCGCATTTGCCGAGAATTGAACATCCAACACATGGCAACGGCTAGCGAGAATGAGCTTGAAGCTTGTGGCTACCACAGCAGACCAGCAGAAGCAGTTCTCCCAGTCAGTCTTCCCAACGTCACGCCGGAAGGTGTTCTGCCTGTCGAGAGACGGAAGCCGCACCTGATGGCATCAAAGTTTTGGGAGCGAGCACAGCAAGGGAAGTCGACGCAGTTTACCAAGCAGTTGTTGTCGGTCGTGCGATTGATGGAGGCGGCAGTGGCTGAGGTGGATGCAAGCTTCGAGTCTCCCCTGCAGCATCCCGCTCCCCGGACATGGGGAGAATATGCGAACAAACGAATTCCTCAGTCAGCAAACTTTATGTCTCTTGAGCACTGGTACGAGGCTTTGCGCATGCTGGTCACGTCATGGGAGGAGGCGGAGGACGCCGCGACGACATATTTGCGAATGGTGGGGCAGACTCGCTTGACAGTGGGTGCGTGGCCTTTGGAGGTTGAAACTGCCTGTGTGCGGTTTTGGGAGAAACGACCAGATTCATTCCCACGATTCGAACATTTGAAGGATGCCCTGTTGTATGAACTCGAGAAGTTGTCAAAACTGCATGGCTCCTTCCGGGGAATTGTCTTTGTGCAGCAGCGCATCATGACACACATTTTAGAGCACCTCATCCAAAACGACGGGGACCTTGCAAGCAAGCTAACTCCTGCGTGCATCTACGCAACGACATCACCAGCCACACCCTCTTTTCGAGTTTCTGCAGCGGACTCGAAAGCACGTCTAGCTGAGTTTGCAAACGGTCGTATCAACTTGCTCATCGCCACTGTTGTTGCCGAAGAGGGCATGGATGTTCCTGCAGCAAACTGCGTAATCCGGTTTGACCCAATGATCAACGCGGTGTCCTTCGTCCAGGGTCGCGGACGAGCGCGACAGGCGGACTCCTCCTTCGTTGTGCTTTCTGAACGTCAAGATCGACCTACATCGACATTGGCAGCAGTTGAAGCGCAGCAGCTGCAGAAGCTCAGACCAACGTTCGAGAGCTCTTTTGGTAGGTAAGCGTTTTTTTTGTTCTGCCTGATTTTGCAATCATTTTCTGCATAACCCGTTCTCTCCCCATAATAACGTTGTCCCTCCTCCGAATGTATTTACGATGATATGTTGAGTACCCAAAGGGCACAGAAATTGCGGGGATCGCCCCCAAGGAGCCAGATGAAATATGCATTTAACTCTTCTTTTGGTGAAGTTAGTTTCGAAGCTTTTGATTCTGGCTAAACTGCGTCGCATGTTTCGGTGGGGTACTAGCTTGGAGTTTGGAGAAGATATTTAAAACCGTCTGAGGATCGTGCAAAATTTCAACCCTGACTGTGCGACCAGAAGCGCAAGCACGGACTTGGCGGCGCAGCAGTCACGAGAGCGAAATGCACGAGAAGTCTTGCAAAATGTGGCCAGAGCCGGAGCGAATGCTGTTGGATTGTTGAACTTGTATTGCAAGAAGACCAAGGTTGAGTTGCATGAGGAACTCAATCTGGTTGGCTCAGAGTTCACGTGTGTCTTGAAATATGAATCTATCCTAAGATCGGTGCAGGCAACCGGATCCTCCGGTCCATTTTCCCGCGCAGCCGATGGCAAGAAGCAAGCCAAGCGTAATGCAGCTGCTGCCCTGCTGGAGACCTTGTGGCAGGACTCCTGACCCGAGAAGACATCGCGTGCGCGAAAAGTTTCATAGGATCCAGCGTTGGGAATCAATTTCTGGTGCTTCCTGTAGCCCAATGACATAGATGACCTTCCACTCTTTCTTTGTTGGTTTGAGAAAACGATTTGGAGGGACCCGCCAAAAACTAACGCCTACAAGCCAGAAAGCTCAATGTAAAGGATGGTGCATCATTCGGGGTTGTTTCTGCCCACCTCGCCAAAGTCCTTTCCCTTGCAGCAGAAACGGACTTGCCAGGGTCCGGATCCTGGACAGCCGAATGGTGCAGATTGACCGGCAGCAGAAATGCTGCATTCTGCATGACGGTCCGGAATTCAGACGGAATGGTCCGCTTCAGGGCTGCTGGTGATTTGATTGGCCCTCTTCACCGTCATGTTTAACATTTGGCAGAACGCAGGGTTGATGCACGGGATGGGATTCAGGGTCTGTCTTCGTGGTGGCTGTGTTTTGGGGTTAGGGTGTGGGGCTTGAACATGCATAAGGTCAGTCTTGCATGGACCACCTAAGAACCTCTGCGCAAGACCCTGGCATACCTAACTACTCTTAAATATCGTCCGCAAGTTCATCCGCAAGGCAAATACTTGTTGGCTATCTGCTGCGATGCCGAGTTGCCTTGACAGAACCTGTTGCGATATTCGGAGTTCAGCTCCCAAATTGTTCTGTCTTCGGTACCTTCATGCTCCGTGGGTGACATGTCATGAGACATCCCTGAAAGAGACGAGATGGAAGTTTCGGCTACATGAGAGGTCGCTTCCGTGTCACCTCGAGGTTCCATGCTGCCCTACGACTACCTGGTTGTGGCCACAGGTGCAGTGGGCTTTCGATTGCACATTATTGGTTGCGTGCTGATGGCCACGCTCAAGACTACATGCTCACTTAGGATAACATGATTGCTGTTTGTGACTGCTTCTTTTCCGGCGGCTACAGGATTTCCAGATTCTAGGGCGATAGTGTGGTCAGTGTAGTAGCTGCAGATTTTCATAATATGACAGTCGCCGTGACCGTCAAGGTCGTGATGGTCAACATCCGTTGCAGTAGCCTATGCAGTAGCTGTGGTAATGGCAGACTTGCTTGCGGAGGTCACCGTAGCAACTTGTAATTACTTGAAGCAGTAATCACCGCCGCCCCCGCCGCCGCCCCCGCCGCAGCAGCAGCAGCAGCAGCAGCAGCAGCAGCAGCAGCTCAAGAAGAAAGCACCAGATGCCGCAGAAATTGCGAGAGCCGGGTCTGAGCTGTGGCTCTGGTCATTCTGCGCAGCCACGCCAGCAACACGGTTGTATACGGGTGTCATGTTCTTGTACCAGGTTTGTCAGCTGCAAGATCTAAAGCCTGTGAAGGTCTGCAGGACGATTCTCTGCATGCGCTGAAGATCCAATCTATGGGAGTGAGGTACCGAGACTTCAGTGTATGCAGGACATCCGGTATTTGTGCTTGCTGAAGACTTCTAATTCTGCCTTTTTTGCCCGGCTTTCCTGATGTTGAGAATTGCGCTGAACGTACTGGTGCCCGATGCCTGCAACCCTTGACCACGACCTTTCTCGATGTAAGGTTGAGCATGTAACCGATGGCTACCGACGGGTCAACGGTGCAATGTCTGCGGCAGATCCATCTATACGAGACTTGTCTGGGGCTTGGAGCGAGACGTACAGCAGATCATTCACTAAACCTGCAGGCTTGCACTGATTCTTTGGTGCATCAACTGCCGCTTTACGCAAGACTTCTGATGTTCACGCCAGTTGCACTTGCTAGATTCCTCAGACCCTTCCGACATGTGGAGGTAGGCCAAAGTTGTTCAGCCAGCAGACCCATCCATGAGCGGAGACGGAAGTTGATGTGCTAGAAAAGCAACGACGCCAAGCTGGAGACGTCTTCAGAGCCATGTACAATCTGGGTGAGAACTTGGCTGGCATCCCCCATTAAACGCCACAACCACAGCTGGAGGAGCCCTTACTCCTTCCTCTAAGTTACAACTACCCCAGCCGAAACACATATGCCGTATGCCCATGTCCAACTGCCTGCTCAGCTTTGCAGCGAGGCTTGTGGAGGGTGGCACCCTGGTCAAGCATCTTGCCCAGTTTTGCCCAGCTTTGCAGGATTCCTCGCACGGGGGTGGTAGGAGAAGCCCTGCTATCTGCCAATCAGCTCAGGTTTACAAACTTCTTCCGTTGATGCAGGTTAGTCACACAATCAATGCTGGTTGCTGTTTCCCAACATGGTCCTGAATGCTGACCAGTTCCTGTCGCTCCTCAGTCGCAAGCTCCAAACTTAGCTCGACAAACATCCAACTTTGAATCTTGAGCTGCTTAGGATCATGGGCAAGCTTGGAAGTTAGATTTAAGAAATGACATGCTAGCTGCAAGGAAAACAAGCAAAAATCTGAGCTATTCGTACAACACCTTTTGCCAAAGGTTTCAGTACCCTTGGGTTTTGGGATCCTGTAAGGGATCCTAGGGGGCTACATTAGCTCAGATTTCGGCTACATTAAGGCCATATCGGGGAAACCTTTTAGGGGTACGACCTTAGGGGTACAACCCTGAAACCCTTGATTTGGTCTGTCCTTCCAAGCAGCTGCACCATCTAACACGCAAACTTTTTGGATTAAATGCCTCGTGGCAAATGCCACGCGATGGCTAAAGTTGCTACAGAATCTATTCGGTAGACAGTTCAATGCGGCAGTCCAGGCATTCTCTGGATTTTGGGTGCCCTCATGCCTACCTCGTTCAAGTCTCGTTCAGGAAGACTCTCTAATGCTTAAAAGTCTGGCATCATGCATGATCTTTTCATGTTTGACCGCTCGAGCCATGTTTTTTCTATCAGAGATTGGTGGTGCTGCAGACTCCCGTAAAGTTGTCAACGCGACGAGACCCATGCACCTTGCATTTTCGAATTTTGCCGGAAGTAAGGCAACTCTACTGACCTCAAACCTTTCGCCCTTCACACAATGCATTGCGCCAGCAGGTCGTTGATTTGGAATCCGCTCTCTTATGCGGTAGCCCGGAGCACAGCATTCTGATATGGGACCTATGCACGGCTGAAATCTGGTTGAGACATTCTGTGGGGCAAGGGTTCTTGCACTAGAAGTCGAGGATAGTGCGGCAAGCTTGCAGCAGCTAACATCGCGGGCTGTTGAGGTCTTGATGGCTTTGGACCATGCATGTGGGTGTTTGGGAAGGATCTGTCAGAGTGGTAGCAGTTTGTTTTGCTGCAAGAGTTGCGTTCAATCCAGCTTTTCTTCAAACTGTTGCTGAACAAAGATCAATTGTACAGGTCACCTGCAGGTGGAGGAGGCGAGCAGGCCAAAATCACGACCTTCGAAATTGCGCAAGAACATCAGAAACAAATTCTAGCGCTGAAGGGCCAGCCTCCTGAAAGTATGCCTGCAGCAGACCCTGAGCGAACAGGCCTGACACATCTGACACAAGGTGTACGGGAGATCCTTGAATGCCTACTGCGTCGTGCAGGGGCTGCTACTTCGCCAGGCCTTCCTTCATTTTGTCATGCGCATGAGTGCAAGTCTACCGCGGCGGCGGGGCTCACAGGCACACCCACTGCCAGGACGCCACTTGCCATGGTGCTGTGCCTGGCAAAGGAGCGGGAGGGGAGGGACTATGGTGGAGGGAAGAAGGTGAACAGGGGAGGGGGGGGGTGCGACTAGTTAGGCCCCTTACCAAGACCAAACGGTCCGTCCAAGCACCAAGCCATGATTCAGGAAAATCGAAAGCCCTTCATCACAACAAGCATCACTCCTTTCCTAGGGCCCTGGACATTGCGAGGTTTCAGAAATTGAGCGAGAACCTTCAGGAAACATACTCATCTCAGGAAATCTGCGTGTAGTAGGAATTGAGTTTCGTCAGGTTGCTGTGGACTAACTGTCATCAGACAACTCTTTGCACATGCAGCTTTGGCAACAGGGAACTTGCTTAGAATTCATACCTGCGGCAATTTGTACGTATTGGAACAAAATGTGGTATAGAATGGAAAAATATTTTGAGCCTGATAGGGCCATAGCGCAAGCGATCATCTTAAGGTACGATTTTCATGCAGTGAGGACCTTCGGCGACCCTAATAGGTCATTATGTCTGAAGTTGTTTACCACCCCAGAGTTCCATGCAGGTGCCAGCAAAGAAGATCATTCTGGCTGCTGGCCCAGCAGATGGCTTCCCGAAAGGCTTTACTAGTCTTGCATGGCTCTTTCCTTCCGAATGCATCTTATCTATTGTTTCGTTGCAAGCGCATGGGGTTGAAAATGATTCCTGCTTCTGCTTGTCGGTTGTTTGGAAGAGGTTCGTAGCAATATCGCTCAGAATTTGGCAGGAATTGTACACGAAAGTTCCCTGGCCGCTTGAACTTGAACTTGAGCATGCAATGAGAAACATCTTGGGTCAGGTCAGACCTTGCAGCACGGCAACCAAGAGCACAGCAGGAGTCAAAGGATCCCCATATACTAACCTTCTAAAGAAGCGAAACCACAGGAGGCGGTATCATGGCCCATGGCCCCAAAGCCCAGAAATTTATCTCTTGAGGTCCTGCCGGCGAGGCTCCAGGCTGGGCAGAGCCATTTAAGCAGATTTAGGTTGGTAGATCTCGGGGTGTCGGAGGCTTTGAATTCAGAAAAACTAAACTTTGCCTGTGCACAGATGCCACCGAGCATCTCTGCAAGAGTTGCTGAGGATGTAGGACCATGTAGAAGGAGAATTCTGCGTGTTCGAACACCTGGCAAGAAGACTATGTTTCTTAAGCTCATTAATATTGAGCTCGTTCTCGTATTTGAAGGTTTTCTTGACGAGGCTACCACGGGAAGACCATGGTTTTGCACGAAACTACTTGCAGCCATGCGCAGGAAACGGCTGCACATGAGAGGAATGAGCATGCGGGTTACTTGGCATTGGGGTTGTCTAAGTCCCGGCCCAAACATTTGAGTCTGTCCCTTGATGGTTGAGCCTCAAAGCCACATCATTTGGATGCTCCAAATATTCTGGCGTAGCAGGCACAAGCAACGGCCCAACAGGGGCTGTCCGTGGATGCCTTCTACGAGGCACTCTCCTGCAGCCAGGCATAGGAGCTTTAAGGTTCTGGCTGTGGCAGATTTCGCCAGGGCGACGAGGTGGAGAGGAAGATCCATCATATTCTGGAGACCATGGGCTTAAAGGCCAGATGCAGCCCCTTCATTTAAGCAATTCTGTGCACTGGCATGGGCTTTCAAGCGCTGGATTGGCCGAAGCCGTCTCGTTCAGATTTGAGCGGATGATTTTGTGGCCCTGTTGCTGCTCGCAAGGCACTTTGTGCGTGTCCTGCAATTGCTTTGTCGCGCGTTCGGGGCAATAGTTTCCCTAGGGTATTTGGCAAGCCTGGCCGTCTATAGTTCATGGCAGCAGGAAGACCAAGCCGGCATCCTTTCAGTCGGAGTGTATAGCAGTTACATGAAACATGCACTCACCTACGTGGCGTGCGCTCGCTTATGTCTGCTGCAACACCTTGCCACAGGTCTATGAAGGCTATCGCCTGCTTGGCATTCAGCAGTGCACAAGGGCACGGCTGCGTCCTGGTTGCATCATAGACTTTGTCTTCTGATCGCGGGCAATAATAGGCAGGCCTCTTCAGCATATCTGATATGTTTGTCCGTGAAGCAGACATGCTGGAAACGTTACCTCAGGAAGGGCCTCATCTTAGAGGATCAAAACGGTGGGCGTGGAGCCCGGCAAATGCTGAAAGCTTGCCGCCAATTTCTTACGCGGCTGGGTGAGGCTCGGCCTCACTGAATGAACGTGAAGACAGTTGTGCTGGAACATGTTGAGTACACAGAAGCTTCTTGTAGGAAACTTCGTGTTTTGAGCCAATGTTCCGTGTGTGGACCTCCCGTAAATCACGTACGTCGCATGAGCGCTTGATAATTCGTTTCATAGTGCTTATTTAGTCTCAGGGAAGTGGCGCCACGACCCGCCGAAGAGCTGGCAGCCGCAGAGCGTGAGCGGGAGAAGAGGCTCTTCCATTCCAGCTCATCTTTATTTATGGGTTCAACTAGTACCCTAGGTTCCCCCCTTAATTGAGGTTATCTAGGGATAATTAGGCTTAATTAAGGTTAATTAAGGGGGAACCTAGGGGGGGTAGTATAGAGTATAGAGGGGGGTACTAGTTGAACCCATGATTTATCTTGGACCGTCATTGTCTTATTCCGAGGCATTTAGGAAGACGACTTGTAGCTGAGCAAAGTTCCGAATGTTGACTGTTTCTGTGAAATCGTTTGAATGAGGTGGGACTGTACAGTCAATTTGATGTTTGAGGGAAGAACTAACTCTCTAGACTTGGTCGGAAATCAAGATCCCTTACATTTGATCGAACTCTCGAGATTCTGGTGGAGGCTCTTGGCGGCTCGCGTGTCGCGCTGGAATCATCAACGCCCTATATGATTATGACCTCAGGAAGCAAATCTTATGAGGCTTGCGAGCCGGATGAGCCCTCTGATTTGGGCAGGTTCCCCGCTCCAGAGGCTGCTCGCGCACCGATGGGTATCATGGAGGCCCAGACTTGGCAATCGGGTTTTAAGATTCGCGTGTGCAGCGTAAGGGCTTCAAGCTTAACAGTCGGTCAAGGATTGGGATGCTGAGATTGCATGCATGTGCACTCTGAAGCCGCGACCACGATTATTCCGTGCACATGGATGTTCAAGCTAGCATGAACGATCTATGATTGTTGGCAGAGGGTTTGCCCGCTCTAGTGCGGCTTTGGGATGCTCTGGGTTTCTTCAGAATCGCGCAGACGGCTGCCAAGAAGGTTTACATTTTACGAGTGGGCCGAAAGACGTCGTTGCCCACTAGTAGAGTGAACGCAACTGCTGACAGTTTCCTCATCGAGTCCGATTTCAGCGCGAACCAAACCATTGGAAATCATTCTACTAGTGTTATTGACGTTGTTGAATTCAGTGTTGAACTACAGCGGCTGGATCACAGATTTGTTGGGAACCTGGGTTTCTATTGATTTGAGGTACTCGTAGAGAGACTGCAAAATGGTTTGCTGGGGTAGGCTTACCAAGACGCATGCTTTGCTGAGTTCCTGAATGCAGGATTTCGGGGCCAGTCCTTCTGGTCTGCCACAGAAGGCAACGTGAGAGCCTGGACATCCATTTTGCTGTGTGCCTCGGCCCTGTGCATGTAGGATATCCAAAATTCATCAAAATTCAGTACACAAGCCGGAAGTGTGGTAGCCAATAATCACTCAAGGACCGTTAAAATGGCCTTTTTGTTTTCTTGGGATTTCAAATAAGTAGATCCAGATAGCAGATGCGCAGTTAAACAGTGTTCCGACGCAAATGAGATCCCCACCATAAAGCTGCGAGTGGGCTATGCCAACCTACTGTTGTCTCCTTGCGTCGGGCGTGTCAGACAAAGAATCATGCGCTGTGTGCAGCTTCTGGCCTGTCGGCTGTGCATCACCGCCGACGCGGTGAACGTGGATCCTGACATTTTCAACTCTGTGGGGAGCCCGGGCGTGGGGCCATGATATAATGTGGCATGCAGGGATGGTTAGAACTGCCACAGTTGCAAGGCCTATGAGGCATAGGACATGCTCAGTTTTCTGGCCTGGGGATCTTGGGAGTGGGAATCGAACAGCACCAGCTTAGAGGGCGCAAGCTTGAGATCCGAGCTGAGTTTCAGGACTCCGAGGCGTTCAGACGCTCAGACTCCTAGCCGGCTTTGATGGATTCTCGGGTGCATAGAGGTTGGTTTGGGAGGACAGCAGCGAAGGCCACTAACGCGCCCAAATCAGCACAACGAAGTCGCAAAAGCGCTTTGCTTCCAAACAAACGATCCAAAAAAACAACACAGGTAGGTTCCTCTTGCAGAAGAGCTGTTCAGCATCCACTTGACTTGCGTCAAAAGCCTGCACGCATCTCAACTGTCATCACATCAAAAACTGAAACAACTCGTTCCACAACTCGTATAGTAGGAGCAGATGGCAGTCAGCTGCCTTGGAAGGCTTGCAGCCTGCAGCATGCAGGCTGTCCAAGGGATGACTGTTTTTTGAGACCCAAGGCTTGCATCCAAGCGCATGGATCCATCCAAAAGCTAGGTGCATGGGAATGGCCTTGTCTATGATGGTCAACGCCTCAGATGATGCTTTGCAACAGACACTGCTTGGAGAGGCGCTGAGCAAGTGGAGTCGCGTCCTAAAAACCCAGTGGCCCTCTCAACACCAGATATCGTGTAAAGGATTTCTGCAGCGACCAATTCAAGATCTTCTTCAAAACGCGGAAAAGGAAACCGGGCATGTAGGGCCAAAAGCGCTCCTGCTATCCGACGGGCAAAGGAAGGCATCATCATGCATCATCGCTAGAGCAGTTGTCTAGTTGAGGTCTCTACAAGTGGGGAGTGGCACAGATTCTGCTGAAGCATTGAGAATGACCAACAGACCATTCATCGCATCTTGGGAGTTAGGCGTGTAGTTTCAAGGATGCAGGGATGCTGCTGGATACCCGAGCACATTCTGGGAAGAGGTACATTGCTATATCTTGCAAGTAGAGATGATGGCAATACGCAGGTCGATTGATCGTGGACCACAATTTTTGCTCCACAGATCCTGGCATTTTCGGGGTGCGCCGTGCCAGTTTGATTTGGACACCGTGCAGCTTCTCATGAGCTGTGTCAAAATGCATCCAGACCCCCGAGCCTGCCCCAGGGAACAGGGCGGAGCAAGCAGCAGCCATAGAAACGAACTCCTCAACCAGTAAGCGAGCAGACTCTGGAAGGGTGATAATAAATCTTCTCAAGAATGACTTGCAATAGCCATAAAGCTGTGCAAGCCGCTGCATTACCACTTGTGCTCTCATGTTGAAGCAGAGTTTACAGCCAGGCGGGTTCCCTCTGTGAGTTCAGCCGCCGCTTCCAGAGAAAAGACGCCGCGTCCGCCTGGCAGAGCTTGCTTTGCCTCACTGTTGGTTGACTATCTGGGCAAAATGTATTGATTCAGGTGTTTGAGTGGATTGTGTAGGTTCTTTTGACAAGCTTTCGGCACTGAATGCGCGGGTTTGCCAAGGGCGCTGGGCCCTGGCGGGCATGTGTGCAAGACTTTCCCAAATCTAGATTGATCTTGCCGTGTCTCTGTTGAAGTTGGAGGATTTGCTGCTGGCGGCGCTGAATGTTTAGAGGGGAGGCTTCATGCCTTTTTCATGGTTGTTACTCCCGCGTGCAAAGCGTGTACAACTTGGCAATCTCACAGCATTCATGGCACTCAACCGTGGGGTTTGCTAGACCGTGGCACCTACTGGCTGCATCAGAACCAAAAGCTTTGTCAGCGAAGGTTGCTGGATGAGAAACCGGTCTAAAACCTAGACCTCGTTCCAACATGCTTGAAGATGGACACCGATACCCTGCTCTGTTATGGCCATTGCAAGCAAGGCGGTACTTGCGGCATGACGGCTTCAACGGACGTGAGGCTGCTAGTTTTTTTGATTTCAGCGCCAGCTGTTTGCGAATGTTCTCCTTGCAAGGGGCTTTGTCATGCTACGGCTAGGTTGTTTTGCTTTGAATGGTAGCCTTTCCACGTGGAGCACGGGCTTTGGGATATGTGGAGGTCGGCGGCAAGCTAGCAACAGCCTTGCTGCGGAAGCTTGATCCTGCCTGGCGACCCAGTCCTGATGTCAAGGATGTATTCAATAATCAAGTCCTGACCTTCAGGGTACACCCTGTCCAACAGCGCGACAATGCCGTGGAAGATGTTGTGACGTTTCTTTCTGTTGGAGTCCTGATTGTGTGAAGGTAACCTCCTCGCCAAGACGGGAAGGCGAAACGAGTAGATTTAGTCAAAGTTTGGAATGCTGCTAGGCTCGTGTCACGCGGTGGTACGGTACCTGTTATCCCGCTTGGGCTTTAGGTCAACGGCGACTCCGTAGCGGCTGGCGGGCCGGCTTTGAACACCGGTAGCACAGTGCCGGGGCCCTCAGTCGCAGAATTGCTCAATTGTCCTGATGCGCACACGAATGTGTCAGCTCTTTGGGGTTTCTGGACTTACAGCTTTGCCAGGATTCAGTCGTTTGGTCGTGAAGCTGTCGGGGGTCCTGATAGATCTTGATCTGCCAGCCCGTTGGCTCCAAGGGTTGCAGGGTTTCCGCGCTTGGGGGAATGTCATTTCATCGCCTGACCTATGCGCCATCGGCTAAACTATTTGGAGATGCCGTGGTCAGCCTTGAAAGCTCTTTGGGCAGTTCAGGAGCTTGTCCTGCATTCATGTAGTGGAGTGTGTGGGTCTTCCTGTGCAAAAAAGAATCTAGCTTTTACACAGTTCCTAGCTCTGGCCCCCTCAATGACCACTCTTCCGCGCCAACAACGTGCAACACTGCAGGCAGGACACGGCCACATCTGGCGGCGCGATGCATCCCTGCCATGTACTTATTACAGCAGGCCAAGCTATGTTGATTCGCTTATGCTACACATGCCACCGACAGTGTGTTGGTTTCCAATTTCGTTGACTGTCAATCTCCCTTTTCCTCCCTGCCATGATAAGAAGAGTCGCCTACCTTGAGCCCACTCTGAGCATGTGGAGGAGATTTTCATCTCCGCTTTCTCGGTGTAGGAGGCAACACTGATACGCGCTGAGAACAAAAGCATTGGTTGCCAGTTCTTCACGTAATGAGGCAGTCAATGTTTGCGTGAGATTCCATTTAAGCATTTGTCACATGGAAATCAGCAAGTGCAGCAGCAATAGTGACGCGGGGCATGCTGAAACGCACTGGGAGCGCATGCGCTTGCGAACATCGTTTCAGATGACACCCTCATCATTACAGACCTTACACACCTCCCCGAAACAAACACCCATCACACGCACAGACCTGGGTATCAGTTGATGAAACATGTCAGGTCTGCAAGCAGGCCCACCCTGTCAGGCTAAAGGTAGATAAATGCTTCGCAACATCCGCCTGCTCGCATCCTGATTATCATCCGCAATATGCAGAGCTTGTTCTTACTATTTGGGCGCTGCTTTACAGTGCCAGGATGACTCCTGAAGAGGCAGGGATTTGGCTGAACGTCTTTGCTTTCAGGTAATTAGAAAGGCTCATGCTCGCAAGGGCTAAACCGTAAACCCTGAACCCTAACACGGCGGAGAGGCTCATGCTTACTTACCTTCATCCATGGAGGAGCGACCCTGAAGCCATCGGAGTCCCATTTGCACAGGCATTCTACAACCTTTGCCCGGCTAAGAAGAACATCAGACCCTCATTCTTGTCTGGATGTCGTGCAAAGGTCTAGCAGAGGCAGCAAGCCTTCTGATTTGCTTCAGGTGGCTAAGAGCTGCAATCCAGCAAAGCCAGTCCAAGCATCTAGAAGTACTTCAATCAAGAAGGCAGAACTCCAACATAATTTGACGCACACGAGACCAGCAAGGAGGCGTCACCAGACCTCCTGCCCGAGTTCTACATGCTCGGGCCCTGCTGTTTGGTGGGTCTGCGATCAGGGGTGCATCGGTTTTATGAAGTATCACTTATGTCCGATGCAAAACAAAAAAAGGGGTGCGCCACTTTTTTGAGGGGAGACCTCTTCTCTTCTGCCTTGGCAGGATGCAAGTGGCTTTGCAGTGTGCCCCGTTTAACAAGCATTCCACCTGCGGGCCTTGAAGAGATGGTCGTAAACGCAATCATTTTCCCGTCTTCACCGAGGCCCATCGCAAAAGGAGGCCTGCTGCCTGGAAACCTACATTACTACAGCCCGGGCGCCCATGGGGAAGTTGATTTGGCGGCTTCGTGTTAATGGAGCTACACGGGGCCGTGCTTGTACGGGAGTTTGATGCATTTTGGCTGGTTGATGCATCGCGAGGACTTGAAAGCCCGCACTGGAGAAATTGGAGTCTCTTCCGTTGATCATCATGCACATTTGCATCGGGGCTTGAGGGTCACCATCGTAGCCAGGCTGAATCGCGAGCTGAGGAGTTTGTTCTGTTAACCGGATGCTTCGGACTCCCTAGAATATTTCTGCGTCAGCTGCTGCAGTGCCAGGAAGCAAAGGCACACAGATGTTTGACCGCTGAGACTGAGCTTGCCACAAACTGAGGCCTCTAATGGTTGCTATACCAGGTAAAAGTCATTCACGCATCTGCCACAACCATTTGCAGCCCACAAGCCATCTGAATGGACTCTCGAGCTTGCTGTTCCTAAACCTCGCTTGAAAAGCATTCGGATTCGATCTGGATGCTGTGCTTGCAAGGAATCCACGCCTGCCGGCGTGGGGATGTTCAGGCCAGGGCTTCGGATGTACCAGTGGTACATTGAGAACATGTATCCTCCTCCTCCTCCTCATCATCATCATCATCACCTGTGTTTATACCCAGGGGCTCTCTTCTGTTGGAAAGGCGTATGCAGTCTTGTAGGTTCCGTTTCAGATCTTTCTGGAGAAGTGACATCTTCTCTGGTGGAGAGAGGCTAGAGCGGCTAGAGCAACTAGTTGAAATCTCAGGCTTGCGAGAGATCAAGATGGCTGGCTGAAGCCATGATTTAGCTGTCACACCTTACTCTCCCTTCAGATGTAGTTTCTTTGCCTCCGGTGCTCCTGAACCGGTTGCCATGGCCCAATTCATGTCAAAATTCATTCTAGTACCATCTTGTCTGCGCGGCGCAATGTTGTCATCCGAATCCGCTGTGGCACGCTGGACAATGGAAAGGCGCTAGCAAAGGCACTTTGAGTGAGCCCGGCTTGTGAAATTTGCCGCACAAGGGGTACTTCTGCTTGTAAGATGTGGTTCACTTGTTATAAGGCAGGCATCCGCAAGTAGTATGTTGCCTTGCCCCAACCGCCCAACCCGTAAAGGTGACTGTGGGAGGCCTCAAGCGAAGCCATGTCATTTCTGAAAAGTCTTCCGTGCCTGCATTGTGCCAGGCGGAGCCAACGGAGCAGAAGGAGGAACAGGTGATTGCCAGAGCCTGAGTGTTCGGAGAGTCTGTAGGAATAGCACGTGCCGGGGCGGCTATTCCGTAAGCGGCTCAAAGTCGCGAAGAAAGATGTTGGCACTACACTCCCTCCGAAGTGTCAGAGGATCCACACCGGTTCTAGAACAATCCTGGTGCTCTTGAGTTCTGGACAGGAACTTGAGGCATTTCGGACACCTTTTCAAGCGGCTTAGGAGCGTTGTCTGTGATATCGGCACAAGACGGGATTTTCCTTAGAAAAACCCGGACAGCACATTCCTGTGAGGGGAAGGATGGCTCGTCACAAGCGGTCTCCAACTCCAGCACGATGAGCCCAACTAAAGTCCCAGAACTTCAACCAGGTGACAGACACGCTGGACCTCAGCAATGGCAAGGGCCACTTCTGCATCATCCTTGGATACACTGCTGGGTGTCGACCAAAGCTGGCAATACTCTTACTTTCCCAGGGTCGGAGTTCAAATTTCGGCTCTGTCAGCATGTCTGGATCCCACATCTAGTTCCCGAGAGCTGGCGGCCCTTATAGGATTGCGGGACACCAGCTGTTGGGGTGTATCTTGTTTTCTAAGTCTGGAGAGTATAAAGTTAGAAGACTGCGGGCGTCGGTTGCACTGTGTCTTGCAAGTAGAGTGGAAGGTGTAATCCTGCCCTGCATTCGCCAAGGGGCAGAAGTGGAGTGTGCTAACCCAAAAACTTAGCTTGCAAAGCCTAGACCAATTTCCCGCAGCAAGGGGAAGACAGCCGACAGTGCCTGAAGGGGAGCAATCCCTTGCGGTTGCAGCCGTTATTTTGAAAGCCCAGATGTGTGCAGGATTGCAAGTCCCGCCGCCTTGTCCATACTGTAGACCACCTTAAATTCAGACTGCTTCGGCGTGCAGGATTGCAACTGCAATTGTTGGTCTACCAGGTCGTTTAACTCTGGACTCTTGTGGGAAAGTCGACTCCATCACCTACCTGGGTCGCTGCCCTGGAAGAGTTGGGATTTCTTGGCCCTTACGTTTTGAAGTATTGCGGGTCTTGAGTTTTTTTTTTAAGGTCACGTTGTGCCGTTGGGGAGCCAGAGCCTAACATGAACAACATGGCTATCCATGATCTGGACATGAGTTTAAATGGTGTTGTCTGGCTGGTTGTTTTGCTTCAGATATTTCCAGACGTTGCGAACATTTCAGGTGCGAGCCAGTTATTCAAGTAAGCTTGCACAAGCGCATTGCGAATTGAACGAGAGGGCATCATTCTAGTTACGTCGGGCACCAGCCTTTGACCGCCGCGCGGAAGCTTCGTTCATATAGCCCGAACTACTCGTATGTGAGGTTGGGAAGTGGGCCTTGTAGGGCGGAGTGGGCCTGAGATGGCGTCATTGTGGGCCCACGCAGCATGGGAGTTGAGCGCTCCCTAGCTCATTACCCCATATTACCCCTAGCTACGTGAGGGGGCTTGACTCTGAGGGCATGACCGTACCTGGGAGTAGATTTGGGCCGACCGCCAAAGGGCTTTTCTGCGGCTGGGCCGCCACTCTGGGGGGTCTTGCAGGGCCCTTGCAGGCACACTTGCACTTTTGAAATCTATCGCAAAGACGCGGGCTTGTCAACGGCTCGGTAGGCTGGGCCGCTGCTGCCACGGATTCTCCATTGAAAGCCTTTGCGTGACTCAGCCGTTACCGCATATCCCAGCAATGCGGCTTGACATTGACATGAACCAGAGATGCAGATTGAATGCAGGCAACAGTAGCGCTGCTATCGAGTAACTGTCTGCACCATCTTCTAGGGACGCGCAAGATGTGATGCGCTCCCAGCGCTGAGCTGTTGTTTCTGCCGCTGCCTCGCAAGTTTCAGGTGCAAACAAATGATGCGCATTGCAATTTCAAGGTTCGCTGGGGCAAGTTACCTGAAAGGGCATCGTTCTAGCTACGCCGGGCGCTATAGCCTTCGACAGCCGCGCAGCGGCAGCGGCTTCGGCAACAATGTATGGAGGGGCTTTGACGACAGTTGGCTGGGGTTTCGGCCAAGATGTCTTGGTTCAAAATTCTGAATGTGCAGCTAGAGCATGTGAGTGGCAACCGCAGAATCCGCAGAGAACCACGTGCATGGACTGTTACCGAGTCTTTTCGCTTTTTTGCCTGTCCTTTGGACTTCGGTGGCCAAGGTGGAGAAGCCCTCCAGGTGGAGTCCTTGTGGAGTCCGGGCCCTGCCTTGTCTTCCAAGATATGGCATGCAGCATGCGTTCTACTTGAGATGGGAAGTTCAAGGCTTGCTTCTGCTCCAGGACCTGCACGTAAGAGTTTTCATTCTCATGCGAAGATCCCACTGCCAATTGCTGAAATATTGAAGATTGAGGCAGGAGACAGGAAGGGAACTGTATGAGTCCAGACCGCAAACAGCGTGGTCCGGCGATTTGGATCCCGAAAGGCAGCTTTTGTCTGGAGATTTGAGGCTGTGCAAGGGAAGGAGAGACGTGCCAAGCCCACCGGCCGAAAGTCTAGCCAGTCCTGCAGATCGTTCCTGGCGTTCAAACTCTCAGACCCAAAGCTCAGCCTGGCTGGAGAGAGTCCAGGCAGAAGCCTCGCGGTCAAGTTCAAACCTCGAACACAGAAGAGTCAAATTGAGTTGGCTGTGTGCTGTGCACTGAGAATGTCAAATTCAGCAGTCATAGCCGCTTTGGCGAATCATGCCTGAAGTGTTGCTACATCTTGAAGACTTTCAGAAAGCCAAGCGGAAGACAGTGGCGATCTTGTTTGAGGCTGCTTAGGAAGCCGCACATGGCTCTCGCAGCTACTGCATCGATGTTCCCAGTGCCTTAGCAGTGTCCTTTGCTGCAGGCACTGGATTATCATGCTGTTGGAGGTGTCCAGGTTGAGATTTGAGAGTCTGCTGATGTCATCAGATTTGTCTAGCCTGGCACGCAGACAGCCAGACTTCGCGTGGTACTTTCACAACTTGCCGGTTTGCAGTCATTCCTGTCGAGAGGCTCTAGGCGTGATGGGGAAAGCCATTGCGCAATTTTCTCCCGCAGACCTGCTCTCCAGGTCTCGTTGGTCTCAGCGAGACCTTCCTCAACCACTTGTACCAGAGATGGAGGCCTACATGACGTTGTCATGTAGAGAAATGTGCTCCAGCAAGGATGAGAGTTTTGGTGCCTCAGCCTCTGCTCAGTGCAACTTGTGCAACAATACTTGCTGGCAAAGCGGACCTCTGCTGCTACAACTCGACTCAAGTCAAGAACTTATGCTCGGCTGCTGACTTGAGCCCTTAATCGCATGTCTAATGAGTCTAATGTTGATGACCAGTCTTGTAATGAGCTGCTTCCAGGGACGATGACATTCCAGACATCGTAGAGCCTGGAGCCCGGAAAGAGCAGGTCCGGGCCTACAGGAAACCAGACGGCTCAAGCGGTTTTCTCATAGGCTTCACAGCTAGGACCAGGAACATTGTGTGATCAATCACAACACCAGTTGTCGAAGTATGTCGAAGTCCGGCCCCTCCAGTTCCACACAGGCACATCAACATCGGCTGTGTTCTGAAAGGGCAGGGGTTATCAGACTGGATGCCAGAAAACTCGAAAAAGCTCTAGCCATTTCCATGGTTTGGGTAAAAGCTTGCTATAGGCAGTGGCCGGCTTGATCATTCGAGTGTATTTGGGGGCCATCACGAGGAACATGGTATACCCCTCGAAGCCATCCAAAAGTCAAGACCCAAGGTTCCTTGCAGACGAGTGGGCCACAGCGCTTTTCCACGACAGGTTTATGGATTTTTGCCTCCTGGATGAACAATTTCAAGGCTTTGGGCTTGATGTTGCTGCGCGGGCCTGTGACGACAAGACGATTTCAGGTATAGTTGGAGCCTGTGGCTTTGTTTCGGGTCTGGTGTGAATATGAGGGGTTTGCTTGATTCGACTTGTCTTCATCTTCTTGCTTCTGCATGCCCGCGTCAGAGCTGGGTGACAATGTTGCCCCTGTAGAGCATCCTAAGGGTAATCTAGAGTTTTCGTTTCGATTCGGAAGCATAGGTGCTGCACCCGACATCTTCGAACCCGACGAAAGCTTCCTTGTAAGCTTTCGTCTGAGTCCAGCTTGCTAATCTGTACTAAGGGGGTGTGGGAGGGGAAACCACCGAAAATGGGCGGGGTTCTTGCGGAGGTGTCCTGGTATGCCCAGAAAATAGGCATGACGAGGCGTCTGTTATAATGCGCATTCGGTTGCCGTTTTGGGGGGCCGTGGAGGCTGTATGGGACGCCAGACGGCAGCTTTCTAGGCACGTTAGCAGCCGTTCTTGGGCACGCGGAGGACGTTCGCGCTCCGCCGCTTCATGAAAAGATATGAGAAATGCACGCGCCAGTTGGCACCCTGCTTCTAAGCTTTCGTCCCCCCCCCCCCGTGGGCGCAAGTTCTCTTTTCGACGAGCACTCCTCATTGACCCTGGAACTTTGGTTCCACAGGAAGATGCCTCATAGACTCCTTCCTAAGCCCACATAGATCCACAGACTTTGGCTTGAAGCTATTGAGCCTTCCCTGAAAGGGGGCCGAGACTTCAGGCCATCAGATCAAGCTCGAGATGCTGTCTTCCGAGGAGGCCATTCAGCTTAGGGGTCATGACCCGCGAGACATGCTGAAGTTCTCTTCATGTTTAGCTCGACATCGTGTTCATCCCGCTGATTGAAAGGAGCCTTCTCGTCCTTGAAGTCCCGCCACAACTCCTGCGTGCAGACCGTTTGGCGGTCAGGTATCAACTCATCGTCTCTTTCTGTCGCATTCCTTGACAGGCAAGAATGCCAAGATCCCCACCACTCCTGACAGCAGCCGGTGGTACTTCTGAAAACGCGTCTAAACCCCTCTTGGTGACTTTGCAACGGACCCAGCTAGCTTGTTTACGTTGCATACTGAGGAGGGCGTTTGGTATTTCGGAGAGGTTTCCTTCTCGGAGGTGTAGCCTGTAGAGAGCATCCTCAACTTGCAAGGCTAAGAAGCTTTGGAGTGAATCTATCAAAGTACATTGAGGGTAGCAGTGAGTAGTAAGACCCCCACAGATCTATGGGTTTGGCATGTTCGAGTAATGAGTCCTTGGACCTGACCCTAGACTGGACCGAGTGCCCCCGCAATGCACCATGTGCCCCGGCCAAGCCAAGCAGGTGAAGCAGATCGTGAACACCGCCCTGGAAAACGTCAGCGTAAAAGACGGCCTGTCGAGGTTCTTCCATGTTTTTCATGCTTGCGATAGCACCCTGCGCGACCCCCATGCCCAGTTGCGATTCTGTCATGGGTCGCCTTGCTCCCCGAGACTGAGCCCGTACAGGAAACTTCTGGCTGAAATTCGGCAGAAGCTGCCCAAGGATAGTGTGAAAGCCATCCAGGAGCTGAACTGGGTTTCAAAGTTTAAAACCTGTCTTTTGTTTTCAGGGGACCAAGAAAGTCATGCTTCTGTGCTACGCATCAATCGCGTCACCTCATCGTGTGTTTTTGTTGAATATGGCGGAAGCATGTGCCCTCTCCAAAGGCCGTAGGTGGTTTTGGTGGCCCTGGCAGGCAACACCGTGACGAAATTGATTGAAAGATGAATGGGCTTGGGCGTGAAAGAGTGCATAATCATCGCGGCATGATGACGAGGTTCCTAACCGTACCGCACTTGAAAATGCCTGGCCAAAAATTAGGCGACGGTTGGTAGCGGCTGCTTTGAGTAAGAGTGTGAATGAACATTTTTGATCGAATCCAACCATCTGATATTTGCGGCCTCAGTGAGACTTAATGATTATGCACCAAGTGCATGTATTGTCTTATGTCTCTTTCTCCCTCATGTCCGAATTAGTAGTTTGCAAGACGTGCCGCAAGGACCATCTGCTGGAATACCTCCAGGAGAACACAAATCACCTCAAGCCCCTTGGCCTGCATTGTTGCATTGAGACTTTGAAAGTTGCTCGTCATAAATGGGTCGAGACTTTGCATGTTGGTTGTTGGCGGTTAGGATGAAGTAGGCTTGAGGCTGACCTTCTGAGACGCGATGCTATTAGGCTATGCAAACTTTGTCCTGAAAGCATCTTCAGGGCCCGGATTTAAGTTTTCTGGTTTTCTTGTTCAGGACTAGACCACTGAGCTGGTGCGGGGTCCCCTGCCCTAATTCGCGAGTCTGAACTGAGAAGAAAGGCAGGGGCCCCACAGGCCCAGCTGCCTAAAGTCTTGACACTCATCCTTGCACGTGTCCCCACACATTGAACCCAGCAAAGTTGGAGTGTAGCACCAGCTGCATGAATTAGCTGAAGACTGAACACCGGTTGCCACAAGTCTCTTCTGAGGACCTACTTTCTGGCCTGGCAGTGGGTCGAGCCCCCGGAGCTTACAGCTTAAGAGGAGTTGGAGTCTAGATGTTGTACTGCAAATGGCTAAGCTCTTCTCTTTCATGAATCTCATATCAAATGGCCTATGACAGAGTTCCTGCCGGGGACATGTGGTGAGTTGGCGTGTCAGTCTGGTTGTTGATCAGCAGAGAGCTCAGGTGTCATGTAGCTTGCTACATACATGCTGGGTTCCCTCATGCCCGAAAAGTCTGTGAGCTCCAAGTTATCAGGGATCTTCCATGATAAGCTCCTCACATCTAGTTATGAGTCTCGCGCCTGAGCGCCCAGAGAAAAAGACAATTTCAAAATGGGAAAGACATGCGCCTACAGGCTTGACAAGATAGCTTTATTGCTGTCGCGAGACTCTCTCCAGCCACACCTCCAGCATTGATGCTGACCTTATGCGTGCCCAAGAGCTAGGAGATGTTCAGCTTCGAAGCATGGCTGTGGCCAAGGATACTGTGCAGAAATGAATGCGCCGCATGCCCGCCCCTAACTGAGCTCGTTGTTGGTGCATCTTTTGGCTTGCAGGCTGGTCAGCGAGAGTTTGCTGCTTGAACATAATTTGCAACAAAGCAAGACAAGAGCGGAAAGCCGCCTGAACCCTTGTTCGAGATTTTTCTCTGCCTTTTGCCCGCATGGGGGAACATTGTGCTGGTCATACTGACCGTGATGAGGTGTTTCACCTTCGTTCGCTCCGGTCTTAGAATGCGAGACAAGCAGCAGGAAGCAGAAAATCTAATTTGCGGCCTGCCCGGTGAGAGATGCCTTTGCCAACATCTCATACAGAAGGCTTAGATGCTGCTTTCCTCTGGATCTATAGGCAACCCCTGCAGGCTGTGGGACGTTCTCCTTCACAGCCCAAGACTTGACAAGGATATTTTCGGTGTGACTTGTTGGGAATGCGCATGTGTGTTGCTGTGTGCTCAGGGTCCCCCAAGCATAGCTTCACTGTTCGAAAACTGACTAGCTTAGCTTTCATAACGTGGCTTTTCGGCATCCGTTTTGCATGTAGGGTCTTCGTCGCCGAAGTACGCCGCATACATACCGAGAGCCCTCAGGTTCCATTCATCTCCTGCTCACATTTAAATCTTCCTTTGTTCAATCGATCACGTGTTTGGATCGCTGAGCGCTAGACGCCGTACTCTTCGCTTTGGTGTGCTTGGCTGGGAGCACGCGGATAGCCATCTCAAGTCAACAGCCAATTATCACCCCCCACCCCCCAGGGGTGGTTTTTAATGACATGTGGTGTTTTTATTTGTTTCGCTTGAGGAGATTGCGGTAAGACCTAACTGCTCACTAGATGCCAGGGCTGCGATCTGAGGTTATGATGCTTTGTCTTGTTTAAAGATTGCTGGCTGGTAGTTAATAGGGCACTCGGTCATGCAAAGGGTAGTGAGAGAATGTACGGATCCGCACT